TCTGTGCTTTTCCTGCTTCTTTGTTTGGCAATAAGGTAAATTCTGAGATACACCAGAATCATGATAAGGCATGGTGCAAAGAACGAACAGATGCTGGAAGAAAGAATATACCAGGGATCCTCATTCAGCATGCACTGGGGTTTTTCATTAGATGGGTCCTTTTTTTTACCCTTGTAAAATAGAGGAGGCAGGGAAATAAGGGCAGCTAGGGTCCACACTATCAGGATAATGCACTTTATCCTCTTAGGTGTTCTCTTTGAGTTATACTCAATAGCTTGGCTGACAGACCAGTACCTGTCCAGGCTGATGGCACATAAGTGCACTATTGAGGAAGTGCAGAAAAGAACATCTAGTGCCAAGTACATCTCACACCAGACCTTGCCAAAATACCAGTAGCCCATCAGTTCGTTGGCCAATGAGAAAGGAATTATGAGAGTTGCTACCAGGATGTCAGCTGCAGCCAGTGACACCAGGAACAGATTTTGAGGTGCTTTTAAGGAACGACTGGTGAGCACTGCAATAATTACCAACACATTGCCAAAAATGGTGAAAAGGGTGAGGAAAGTGATGACCGCAGCAATTACCGCAGTGGCCTGCAATGAGTAGGAAAGGGGCCCAGCCATGGCACATGAATTTAGAGTTCAGCAGATGCAGCTGTTCTACTACTGGATCTGTTTTGCCTTGAAGTGTAAAGGCAACCCCATCAGCCTCCAAAAAATCACATCTGCTTCTTCATGTCTTCAGATTTCCATGAACTCCTTGTAGAAAGTTTATTTTTGTCCAGACTTTGGCTGTCTAGATATCTGACACTTTCAGTCTTTGAATGCTGCTGAAATCCCCCTGGTGGTTAATTATTCCTTCTGGTGTGTGCAGTTAGATCAGGATCTTGCCATTCTCTTCTCCCTGAGGTGGGAAATTGAGATCTGTTCAGCTTTTAAGGACTGCATATTTATTTTCACCAGCCCCACTGAGTGATGTCAGCCACTCCACAGCTCAGCCTCCTTCACAGAGAAGGGGGAGCCATGGCAAACAGTGCTTGCTCTCCGCACATAAAGCTTCATTTCTAAACTTTAACTCTGCCTTGCTTGAGACCTACCGTGTATTGTCCTTTGATTTCAGGCAGAGTTGTGCCCTGCAAGAGCAGAGCAAAGCAACATCACTATCAATTATACCAGCATCCAAAGAGCTGTTCCAGTTGGTCTCACACACACTGCATTAACAGAACAGCCTCTGGTGGATTAACAGCAACAAGTATCAAAGCTCATGGCTTTGACAGTCTGTATGTGAAGCTTCCTTGCAAGCATGGAAAAGTTTACATTAAGCATTAAAACCTGTATATAAATCTATATTAATATACACAGACCCGAACATGCACGTATTCATCTCCCAAAACCTCAGAATACAGACACCGATTCCCTGTTTATAAATTAACTAGAAGAGAAAAAAAATGTTTCAGTACCTTGAACAGCGAAAGCAGCACCCATAGCTCCCTCTACTGGCTGATTGTGAAAAGTTTTGTTTCCCCCAGCAAACTACAAAGAAAGCATTTACTTAAAATTTTATTATGGAATGAATGAACTAAGGCATATACAGTACATTCTTCTTCATCTGCACTGACCGGCATACAAATTATCAACGACTATGTTACTCTCAGTTGATGGGCCTGCAATTCCTTCCAAAACTACCTAGAAGGGCAGGAAAAAAAATGAATAAAAAATAAATAAAGTCTAGCAATCCACACCTCCTAAAACATGCAATTTATATTATTTTGTCAATAGATTATAAACTTAAATCAGCAGAACTACCAGTGGCGTCTCTAGGATTCATTTTTAGGGGGGCACATGGTGGGCCATGGACAAAAGTAGGGGCAGTTATAAAACATGTGTGTGTGTGTGTGTGTGTATGTATATCTCCCTGCAAACTGCATACTCAGCCAGGTAGGTAATGTATCTCACCTTAGATGTAGCCGCACTGTCTGTTCAGCTCACAACTTGGAAGTTGACAGTATGGGGTGCAGTGTGTTGGAAGGTGACAGTGTGGGGGCAGGATGTAAGGATGGCAGTGTGGATGGGCCGACTAATAGACAACATGCCCTTACTGATGCACACTCCCTGACAGTCATTGTCTCACACACACACACGTTTAACCAAAACACGTTCACTGACAGACACACACTGGCAGACACCCCTACTGGCAGACACACATTCAATGACAAACACACAGATGTCACTGACAGACACAGACTCTCACTGATGTGACAAATACTCACCGATAGTCACATTCTCTCTCACACTCACAAATCGCAAGGGAGCAGGAAGATTACAGCTCCCTCGCCGTCTCTGATGTGCTCACAGCCGCCCACCTTGGAGGTCCATAAACTCCTCCAAAACAGGAGGAAGCACTGGGGACGTCCATACAGGCACTTTGGGATAGATGGAGCCAGGACCAGCCTTGGCCTTTAGGGGCCCTGTGTGAAAAGTCACACATACAGGCAGAGTGTCACACACACAGAAACAGTCACACAGCCACACACAGTCACAGTCACACATAGGCATACAACCATACAGAGGACAGACAGTCATACACACAGCATCACACACAGGCAGACTGTCAAACACAGGTCAGCCAGTCGCAGAACCAACAGTCACGTACAGGCAGACAAACACAGGTCAGCCACACACACACAGTCACACACAGTTGCAGTCACACACACCTTTACCTCTGTCCATTATGGACTGGAGGGAAGGCAGTTGAAACTCTTGGAGTCTGGATGTTGGGGGAACCAGGGACTACTTCCTGCTTCCCCCTTCCTGTGCAACAGTTACCCAAACAGAGGTCTTATGGGCACCTTTAACACCGCCCCTGACATTTGGCCCTGCCCCCACCACAATGAGTTTAATAATCCCGGATGGAGGAGTCATTATTCTCCACCAGGGATTATTTAAAAACAAAAAAAAACATTGCCCATGATACAGTGCCTGCATTTGGAGGGTGCAAGGGGGGGCACGGCATAATGTAGGGGGGCGATGGCCCCCTCCACGCCCCCCTAGTGACACCACTGAGGACTACTTTAATTTCCCTGTACAGCTGTTTAAAAAAAAAAGGGGAAAAAACCCTGCTTTCTAAGCCACAAAATATATTCTGTAAACAATGTATTTACCTGTAAAGCCATAGGTTTGCTGGGTGATATTAACTGTATTTTTGCCTTTGTCCATTCCATTTTCTTATGCCCAGCATCTGACCACAGCAGAGTGTGACCTGGCCTTGTGTAAACATTTAGTGTACCTTGTATGAGGAACGCAGGACAAAGCGGGTGTTAAAGTAAAGAACTGGTTATCTTTGTGGCATTACAATGGAAGGGGGAAATGTTAACATGGCAAACTGGCAAAGCAAAGTGATAACATATGAAAAGGTTTTTAAAAAAAAAACAAAAAAACAAACAATTATTCACACACAGTGTTATGTTAGAATGAAGGTCACAATTCACGTTTTATGATCATTGCTGCAATAAATACGGTTTCACCCTTTAGACTTCTGTATTGAACTAGAAATGTTGTATAGCTCATCAGGTGGAAACATTTTGTACAAAATGTACACTCTTTCAGCATTATGAGATTCACCAAAGACAAATTACCAAAAAAAAAAAAAAAAAAAACACTAAACAGAACACCACAAAAGTTTATTGAACACTGGTTGACTAGCTGTGAATTGTTAGATCAGTGAAAATTCAAGTGAAAAGACAATATTCTAAATAGAAAATTGACCAAATAAATTGCCTTCTACATTAGTGAGTGGCAATTCAATATTTAGTATTTTTATTTTAAACCTGGTTTACTTTGCAAGTTCTAAACCTGATTGACACAAAAATTGGTCAGTCAACACTAAGACCACACTGGTGAAGTTCCATGGTCAAATCTCCACAATTTTATGTTAAGTGAGTAACCCAACATTGTTTAGAGGAACTCACCCATGATATGCTTTAACGAGCTGTACCAGAAAGAGATGCAGTTTGTGGAATTTACCATTGGACTCAAGAGTAGCGCTTTCTGTCCTGGGACAAGTGGTGTGGTAACATTTCTTAGGGATAGATAGGCACCTATAAGATATAAAAGTTTTGTAATGCCAAAACATCCTAGATTGTGTCCTTACAACACACAAAAACCAAAAACAGGTTACCTCTTGGTATGTCCAAGTGCATGTGGAATTCACTGGGAGGATTCCACCTACCCTGCGTTAAGATCCAGTTTAAGTTATCATTAGAAGTTTGCCTCCATCCACACAATCCCATCTCAAACTCACAAACATGGCTATGTCGATAGATCTTGCCATTTGAGACTTTTTGAGGTTTATATTTCTTAGGGAATGGATTATAGAGTGGAGCTAGCACAAGAGAGTTCCTTTGTAGAGGAACCAGTACAGACGAAGATCCTTTCATTGTGTATTCTTTATTTGACATTGTAAGGCTATGTGAGGCATTTATTATTGACCTAGTATCCTTCCCTGAAGACCGTAGAATATGCAATATGGTAGAGTTCAATTTATGTGTTCTTGGCAGTAAAGATTTTGTGTTAACTTTCAATATGATCTTCCTGGAGTTGACATTTACACGTAGAGGTCTAGTATGCAACCTCTTTGATATCTTGGGAGGGCTAGATTTAATAGATTTTGACACTGGCAATAGCTCCGGCAAAGATCTTTTTCCAACTTCCTTGAGGAACTCTGGGTTCAGATGTTCAATATCCTTACGGAAGGTTTCCCATTCATCTTCTGACTGGCCAGAAAATATATCACTAGATGTTTGAGAGGTGGCCTTCTCAGTTGATGCCGATGTGTTTTCTTGTGACAGGATAGTGAGGGGAGTTTCTGTGACCAGTTTTGCCTGGTTTGTGGAATACATTAGATGCTTCATTAACCCAGTTGTTTGAGAGGTAAACCCCTCAACTGGTCTCACATAGTGTGACGATACGCTGCTTTGTATATCAACCTCAAAGGTTGCTGTGCTCTGCTTCAAGAACGACATGTGTAGCTGTACTTCTGCACCAATGTGTTTAAGCGGTGATTCTGTGATTAATTTTGACTCTACCAACCTCATTGAACCATTAGTTACGGATTTATTTAGTACAGTGTTTTGAGAGGTAAAACCATCAGTTGGGCTCCCACAAATTAATGGCTCTGTGTTCTGCCCCAAGAATGGTGTTTGTGATTGTGCTTTTGTCTTTGTACCTGTATTTGGGAGTAGTGTTCCTGTGCCTAAGTTTGACTGCAAATTTGCAGAATCAATTAGATGTTCATTTAGTACAGTGGTATGAGAGGTAAGCCCCTCTGTTGGGCTTAATGCAAATTTGCTACCCTCTGTAATAGCCTGATCAATTTTTGATGTACTTTGCCCCAAGACTGGTGTGTGTGATTGTATTTCTGTCTCTGTACCTGTAATTGGGAGTAGAGTTTGTGTGTCCAATTTTGACTCCAAGGTTTTAGAATCAGTTAGATCTTCATTTAATAAAGTGCTGTGAGAGGTATCCCCCTCAGCTGGGCTTCTATATATTAATTCAGATTTGATAACCTCTGTAATATCTTTATAATTTTTTGTTGTACTTTGCCCCAATATTGATGTGTGTGACAGTACCTCTGTCTCTATATTTTGGAAAGGGGTTACTGTGACCAGTGTTGACTTTTCTGTTCTAGGTACTTCAGGAGCATTATGGGTTTGCAAGTGCTTTTGGGCCACTGTGGGCAATTCCTCTAAAGATGTTATGTTGGAGATTATTGGAAAACTTGAATTGACATTGTGCTCTAAAATAACGACTTTCTCAATTGTAGTAACACCACCAGTGATCATGTTGAACAAAGATTCCTGGGTAGATCTTTCAGAGACTAAAGTTTCAATCGTATTTGAAGCAGCAGAGCCATTATTTTTTGTAGATATAAACTCATACAAGGTCCGTGATGGGGGCTCATTCTGTGAACCAGCCAGTGTCATGGGGGCTCCTGTGCTAGTTGGCTTGAGAGTCAAGTCAGCAAAAGTGTGCGCTTCTAGAATCCCCAGTTTGGCATTTTGCAGAGACTGTGAGAAAGCATTTTCAGACTGCATTGGTGTCGATTCTGTAAATCCACTTTTTTCTAAAATGCCTAGGCTATAAAATATAGCTTTTTCAGATGCAGTAGTCCTTTTTCCATGTTTATTAGATACCATAATCTGGGTAGCATGAGCAATAGAAACTTGTTCAGAGGCACTTGTGTGAGGAGGTGAAAAGTACTCCTTTAATGAGCTTTGTTTAGAGGTTGATGTGTGAGCTAGAGTCATGCTTTCCTCATATTCTTTGGTAGGTTTGTTTACAGACCGGTTAGTGTGAGTTGGTCTGAGAACTGGTTCCTCCGTAAAACCTTCTGTAGTGGTGAACATGTATGGGGAAGTCAAACTGGGCGTTGACTCCTTCATATAATCTTGTTGAGTGGCAACACTGTCAACCTGAGCCAGTGTGGCTGTACTGGTATAGTCATATGGAAAAGCAATGATGCGAGCTGGAGGTTGGGTATAACCTAATATAGATGTTAAATTTGTAGTTGAACCAAGTCTAAACAATAAATTCTCAGTGAAACTTTCTCTGGTCTTTGAGACATCGGGATCATTGGCAGTATATTTCTCACAAGAATAATAATTTGGAGGAAATTCATGGAACACCTTCTCATTTTCACCTGTAAAACAGCAGAGGGCAAACGAAAATACATGAAAAAAGGCATGCTACAGGGGGATGCATAGTTTATTCTAACCATTTTAAATTTTGTCCTCTATGAAACTCATCTCTCAATGGCCAACAAAAGTCTTAGATTTAGGGTCTACTCAACTCTGTTCCAGTAGGGGGACCAATAAAAACAGACTATTGTGGTGGATTGTATTTTTTTTCATGCTTTATGCAAGTATTTAATTTCATTTAGGCAAATTCACTTACCATCACTTCTGTAGAAGTGGTAAACCCCCCTACCATTAGGACTATGCAATGAACGTGTCTCTGCTGACTGGAAAGACAAATAACTTGATAGGTCCTATAAGGGGCAATGAAGCCTCTAGGGCAGGGGTCAGCAACCTATGGCACGTGTGCCATGCACAGCACTCAAGGTCCCTTTGCACGGCACAGACAAACAGGCTCTGCCCTATCAAACGTGCCAGTGGGAATTTAGATATCTGCTAGTTCAAACTGGGTGGTTACAGGTGGTTAGAGACAATCCTCAATTTATCTCAGATCACTTCCTCACTGCACTTGTGAATGGGAATCAGCACTGGCGCCGAGCAGCCCACAGCAGCTATCGTGGCTTCTGCACTTAACCTGTACTTGGCCAGCCTAGTTCCCACTGGACCCAGGAAAGCTACCCACACTGCTAGATATACACGGAGCTGAAGAATAAGCCTCACTCTCAAAAAAAATAACACAGACAGCCCATACACAAACACGCAGTCCCACAAAGACAACCACACTGACAACCCCACAATCAGCCTCTCACATGCAATATTGAAATTAGCGCATAAACTTACCACCAAACACACAATGTGATACATCATACACAGACACAATTACTCAAGGAGCCCCCATATACAGACCACATTCAAGTCTCAGGCACAATACCACAAACAACTCATGAACAAATACTGTACAATATAACAACGCTACAAAGCAACTGCAGCACTCAAAAAACACAAGCAGAATACGGCAACATGCACGCTTCGTTTTACACAAATAGGATCAGCATGCCAAAGGGACTTCAAAATCTTGTTTTGGCACAGTACTAGTAAAAGATTGCCTACCCCTGATCTAGGGTCACAAGTCCATAACCGCTATGGGCATGTGAGATACAGCCATGTTTCACTGCTCTCTTGGTTGGAGTTTTAATTCAGAGCAATGGTATTCATCCGCTTATAAAAATGTGGTTAATGACATTTACTGTCCACACAGGAAAAGTTGTGCCGAGCAGCAACCTAATCCACAGAAGGGTTAATGCTGAACAGCAATTATGCAAATGAAACCTGGTAACTGACTTTGGGGTCAAAGGCCGGTTACAGCCTATCGGATCTAGAGGAGGGGTATTTAGGCCTAGTTCTCATCCTGCTCAGTACCCTGTCGTGGTTTCCCTTGTGGTTGTCCGAGAGCGCGTTACTGTTTATAGTTTTCTACCTGGTTTTTGACTTTGGATTTGTTTATTGACTTCTCTATATTCTGGTATCCTGACACCTGGCTTTTCTCATCGCTGCGTCCCTTTCTGTGTTCCCTGACCTCGGCTAGTATTTTTGACTATTCTATGTACGTTAAATCCAGCCATTCTAAGGACCGGTAATACGTTACTTATTTGTCATACGTGCTATACAGTAATCCTGACAAATGGAGAGAGAGAGCGTAATAACCCGATGAACTAATAATTATACACACACACACACACAAATGAGGTATATTGGTGTTGTGGCAGGCTTATGTAAAGTATAAACAACCTAACTAAATCCCAAATATTCAGTCAGGTGTTAAACCACCCCTCCCCCCCTCAAAAAAAAAACCAAAAAAAACATTCAATTGTGTGAGTTTTTAAGGCTATGTTACATAGAAACAGAATGTGACAGCAGATAAGAACCATTCGGCCCATCAAGTCTGCCCAATATTTCAAAATACTTTTAATTACTCCTTGGCCTTATCTTAAGTCTAGGATAGCCTTATGCCTCTCCCACACATGCTTAAACTCCCTCACTGTGTTAACCTCTACCACTTCAGCTGGAAGGCTATTCCATGCATCCACTACCCTCTCAGTAAAAAAAAAAAAAAAATACTTCCTGAAATTATTTTTAAACCTTTGCCCCTCTAATTTAAGACTGTCCTTTTAAATATAGTCTCCTCTTTTATTCTTATTCCCTTTATGTATTTAAATGTTTTTATCATATCCTCCCTGTCTCGTCTTTCCTCCAAGCTATACATGTTAAGATCCTTTAACCTTTCCTTGTAAGTTTTATCCTGCAATCCATGAACCAGTTTAGTAGCCCTTCTCTGAACTCTCTCTAAAGTATCAATATCCTTCTGAAGATACGGTCTCCAGTACTGCGTACAATACTCCAAGTGAGGTCTCACCACTGTTCTGTACAATGAGCATTTCTCTCTTTCTACTGCCAATACCTCTCCCTATAAAACAAAGCATTCTGCTAGCATTTCCAGCCGTTCTATTACATTGTCTTCCTACCTTTAAGTCATCTGAAATAATTACTCCTAAATCCCTTTCTTCAGATGTTAGTAGGGTATCAAATATTGGGTTTTTACATCCAAGGTGCATTATCTTGCACTTAGCCACATTAAATGTTAGTTGCCATAGCTCTGACCATTTTTCTAATTTTTCTAAATCATTTGCCATTTGGCTTATCCCTCCTGGAACATCAACCCTGTTGCAAGTTTTAGTATCAAAAAGACATACGTTACCACCAAGACCTTCTGCAAGATCACTAATAAAAAATATTAAAGAGAATGGGTCCATGTACAGATCCCTGTGGTACCCCACTGGTAACTAGACCTTGCTTTGAATATACTCCGTTGACTACAACCCTCTGTTGCCTGTCATTTAGCCACTGCCTAACCCATTCAACAATATTGGAATCCAAACTTAAAAAGATTGCAGTTTATTGATGAGCCTTCTATGTGGAACAGTGTCAAAAGCCTTACTGAGATCTAGGTAAACAATATCTACTGCATCACCCTGATCTATTATTTTAGTTACCCAATCAAAAAAATCAATAAGATTAGTTTGGCATGATCTCCCTGAAGTAAACCCATGTTGTCTCTGATATTGAAATCCATGTGATTTTAGATGTTCAACAACCCTATCCTTTAACATGGTTTCCATTACTTTCCTCACTACTGAAGTAAGGCTTACTGGTGAATGGGCACAACATTCGCTAACTTCCAATCTTCTGGTACTACTCCTATTAACAATGATTGGTTAAATAAATCTGTTAGTGGTTTTGCTAGTACACCACTAAGCTCTTATAATAACTTTGGGTGTATCGCATCAGGCCCCATCGACTTATTTGTCCTTACTTTTGACAGTTGAAATAGAACCTCTTCCTCTGTAAACTCACATGTAACAAAAGGATCATTTGACCTTTTTCTTAACTATGTTTAGTGAGTGAGCATCTTGTATGAATATGTATATACATACACACCGGGGATTTAAGGGGAAATCTAAGTACGTAAGATCTATCGGATCAAAAGACACAATAAACGGAAATGCTTAAGCCAAAGTGGCATATTAGTTTATTTATCTGAATAAAAACTATCAGAGTTATTTAATAAAGAGAGAATGCCAAGTCAATTTAAAGGGACACTATAGTCACCTGAACGACTTTAGCTTAATGAAGCAGTTTTTGTGTATAGACCATGCTCTTGCAGTCTCACTGCTCAATTCTCTGCCATTTAGGAGTTAAACTTATTTTATTCAGCCCGAAGGACACCTGCATGTGACTTGCACAGCTTTCTTAAACACTTCCTATAAAGAGTCATTTAATGTTTCCTTTATTACAGTCTGTTTAAAGGGACACTAGAGTCACCAGAACAACTACAGCTTATTGAATTTGTTCTGGTGTGTAGAATCATTCCCTTCAGGCTTTTTGCTATAAGCACAGCAATAGTGTGTCTACAAGAGACTCATTTTAGCATAAGCAAACCACCTACCTTTAGGGTCAAACAATTTGCCCAGGCCTAGCATGCCATGTCCAACACTAAATCCAAAGGGGTTTCAATATATTTTCACAGTGACTGGGTTTTCACGCCAGCCAAACAATACATCAGTAAAGATGGTAGGCTGCTTATATTAGTGGGCTCATTAAATGTCCATCAACTAACGATTGCCTCCCTGTATGCATCAAATGACACACAGAAAGATTTTCTGAACAAGACGTTCCACAAATTAGACCAATACAAAACAGGACACACTATCGTATGCGGGGACTTTAACTGCACCCCTGACCCAAACATAGACATACAGAGGGCTCAAAGCAGACCCCCTAAACAATCCTCACTCTCTCTGAGCAGACACTTGGCAAGCTTATTAAACTCTTCTGACTTACGATGTATGGCGCAATTTATACCCGGGCGCGAGAGACTATACATTTTACTCCCCAGTCCACATGACATACTCCAGGATTGATTAATGCCTCTTTGACAAACGCACGTTACCACACGTCATAGGCATGCACATTGGCCCTATCACGCCCAACTGGTGCTAACAATAAAAATATCACACCCTGCGAGAGGGATAGGCGCTTGGCGCTTGAATGAAGCCCTGCTGGAGAACCCGCAACACTTCATGCGACTTCGAGATACCCCACACACATTGTGAAACCACACTAGTTACACAATGGGTTGCCCACAAGGCAGTTATGAGAGGAGAATTTATCAAGCTGGGAGCAAACATCAAAAGAGCAGCGTGGCCAGAACAAACCAGACTCACTCAGGAAATAGCTGACACTGAAGCTAGCCACAAATCAAAACCATCCAAGCAAAACCATACACGACTACAGATACTCAAAACCAAACTGCATGATCTGCAGCTACGAACGACAAACATATGAGATATCTGAAAGAAACTCACTACACACTAGGAAACAAAGCAGGCAAACTTTTGGCAAGCAGTTTGGAAACTATGTAGGGAATCTTGGACTGGAGATATTTTTGTTTCAAACGAGGAGACAAACTTTACAACCCCCAGGACATAGTGAACGCACTAGCGGAATACTATGCATCACTTTACCAACTACACAAAGACCCAGAAACACACCACCCTTCCGCCAGGGGCGTTTTAGCCGCGAGGCAAACAAGGCATTTGCCTTGGGCGGCATTTTTCAGGGGGCGGCAAAAAAAGCCGCCCCCCAAATGCCCAAGGCAAATGTCTTGTTAGCCTCACGGCTAACAGACACGCTGGGCGGCATTGGCGGGCGGGCGGGCGGCTGACGAGGGAGCACTTCCTGTGAGCTGACTGCTCAGCTCCCTCGCGCGCCGCAGAGTGAGGCTGGGAGCCGGAAGATGACGTCATATTCCGGCTCCCAGCCTCACTCTGCGGCGCGCGAGGGAGCTGAGCAGTCAGCTCACAGGAAAAGCTCCCTCGCCAGCCGCCCGCCCGCCAATGCGCCCACCCAGCAGCCACTGGACCACCAGGGAGATAGAGAACCCCTTCCCTCCCCAGCACTCCCAAAGGTAAGGAGGCTGGAGGAGGGGGGGTTTAAAAAGTACATGTGTTAATGTGAGTGAGTGTGTGTGTCTATGAGTGAGTGTGTGTGTGTGTCTGTTAGTGTGTGTGTGTTAGAGTGTGTGTGTCTATTAGTGAGTGTGTGTGTATTAGTGAGTGTGTGTTAAAGTGTGTGTCTGTTAGTGTGTGTGTGTTAGAGTGTGTGTCTGTTAGTGTGTGTGTCTGTTAGTGTGTGTGTGTTAGTGTGTGTGTGTTAGAGTGTGTGTGTCTGTTAGTGTGTGTGTTAGAGTGTGTGTGTCTATTAGTGAGTGTGTGTGTCTATTAGTGAGTGTGTGTGTCTATTAGTGAGTGTGTGTGTCTATTAGTGAGTGTGTGTTAGAGTGTGTGTGTCTGTTAGTGAGTGTGTGTATATTAGTGACTGTGTGTCTATTAGTGTGTGTGTGTCTATTAGTGAGTGTGTGAGTGTTAGTGAGTGTGTCTGTTAGTGAGTGTGTGTGTGTCTGTTAGTGAGTGTGTGTGTGTCTGTTAGTGAGTGTGTGTGTGTCTGTTAGTGAGTGTGTGTGTGTCTGTTAGTGAGTGTGTGTGTGTGTGTCTATTAGTGAGTGTGTGAGTGTTAGTGAGTGTGTGTGTGTGAGTGTGTGTGTGTGAGTGTTAGTGAGTGTGTGTGAGTGTTAGTGAGTGTGTGTGAGTGTTAGTGAGTGTGTGTGAGTGTTAGTGAGTGTGTGTGTGTCTGTGAGTGAGTGTGTCTCTGCTAGTGAGTGTGTGTGTTTGACTGTGTGTGTCAGTGAGTTTGTGTTTCTGTTAGCTAGTGTACGCGTATCTGTCAGTGAGTGTGTGTGTGTGTATTTAGAATGCGGGGGGAAGGGATGGGTGGGGGTCGCGCGCGGGGGGAAGGGATGGGTGGGGGTCGCACGCGGGGGAGGGGGTTGGGGGCGCCTGAGTTTTGTCCTGCCTAGGGCAGCACAAAACCAGGATACACCACTGCCTACCGCGGCTGAGAGACTCTTTCCTGGAAAAGGTTCCCCTTCCCTGCATCTCCTAGGACCTTAGAACATTCCTAACCGGACCCTTTACAGAAAAAGAACTCAGGGAAGCCATTAAATCACTAAACACAAATCCCCGGGCCCACATGGCCTCTCTAATTACTACTACATCAAGTTTACAGACCAGTTAGCCCCCCACCTCCTTCAACTGTTCAAGGACATCAAGCAGACTGGAAAAATGCTGGAAGCATTTATTGTCACGCTACCAAAACCTAACAAACCTCCCACTCATAGTGCCAACTCTGACACTAAATTATACGCCAAAATGTTAGCAACAAGGGTTAAGGTGGTCTTTCCCATGCTCATCTCCGCTGAACAAGGGCAAACCACTCCTCTCAACAGTGCCTGGTGCTGGCGTTGGATGCCAAAAAGGCGTTCGATCGCTTGCACTGGGGATACATGGAACGCACCCTGGCTAGGATGGGACTCCCACCGGCCTTCCTCAAGAGTATTATGGCCCTTTACCATCAACCATCGGCTAAGGTCTTCAGCACAGGCTTCCTGTCAGCACCCTTCACTATACACAATGGCACGCGCCAAGGCTGCCCACTGTCTCTCATTTTTATCCTATGCCTTGAGCCCTTGACGCGACTTATAAATGGCAACACACCGATACACGGATTGACAACCCCGGGCGGCATACAGAAGTTGGCTTTGTTTGCCGACGACATGTTCATCACACACCGCATCAGATCCATCCCCGTACACCTAGAACTTCTCAGAGAGTATGGAGGGGTATCGTACTACAAGAATAACACCAAGACACAAGCACTACCGATCAACTTACCACACCAAACGGAAACACAGCTAACCTCCGACTACACCTTTGACTGGCGGAAATCATCCCATACTTACCTGGGAATCAAACTGACGAAAACACATCAGACCATTCTTAAAGAGAACCATTACCCCATAGTGCACAAACTAAAAATGACCCTAGAAAAATGGGAGAACCTAGAGATCTCCTGGTTGGGCCGGGTAAATACGGTTAAAATGATGGCCCTGCCCCACATTCGATACCTCTTCCACACAATACCAATAATGCTACCTAACAAACTGATCAAACTAATGCAATCCACCATAAATGCGCATGTATGGAAGCGAAAACCCCAAAGAGTGGCCCAGCGCAACCTAGGACTTACCTACATCAAAGGGGGCCTGGGCCTGCCTGACATCAATACATACTATAGGGCCTCAATTCTAGCACAGGGAGTACACATACTGGGCTTAAGGACAATTCCCAAAAGCTGACACTTGAAGATGCCTGCCTGCACCCACAAAACTCATCCAACACACTATGGGCGTGTACCCTCACCAAACCTGAAGGGGCATACCTACCACACTACTCCCGGTTCCTGCTGAGCTCATGGCGGATCTGGAGCTGTCTAATTCTGGATCCGCACTTGCTCATCAAAGAGGCTCCACTGGAGTCCCTGACCATATTTTCTCCAGACCTTCCCATGGTGAGTTGGATAACCAGGGGCGTACATAGGGTGGAGGAACTGCTGAAGGGAACCAGGATCAAAACATTCCCTACCCCAAAGAGACATGTATCTCTATCTCAGAACAAAAAAAACATTACTACCGCACATACGAAAAATGAGAGAAGCGACCAAAGATCCACCCCTGCTAATCAATCAGATCCTCGCCACTAAACTTAGGAAACCACTGTCCCTGTGCTACAACACCCTTCTGGAGGGCCAATCATGTGAGAAAAGACCCTACATGATACATTGAGAGGGAGAGCTAGGCCACCAACTAACTGGCACAATGGCACGAGGCAATGGCAAACACAAAGAGCCTCTCGTTGTGGGATGCATACTGTAAAATTGCCATGAGATGGTACCTGGTCCCACATAGACTCAAGAATTTACAAGAGCTCATCCGAGCTCTGCTGGCGCTGTGAGGTGGGAGCGGGTGCCATGCTACACATGTTTTGGGACTGCCATTTATTGGGAGCATTCTGGACACAAATACAGGGTCTCATCTCTAGCACTACCGGCCTCCTTGTCCAGTTGCAACCTGAATATTACCTGCTACATATGATACCTGAACTTTCACTGCACCCCCATAAGAAAGTGTTAATAAACATACTCACCGTAGCAAAGATCCTACTAGCCCAAAACTGGAAAAGTAAAAAAGTACCCACCATAAAGGCAATCAAGGACAGAATGGATACTGGGTAGCAAGGCTGGGGGACTCTAAAGTTATTTCCCCTCCAGCTTTTCGTACCTGGACTATGGTGGCTTCTTTTCCGTGATGTGACGTGTGCATTAGGTAATGTGTTGGCGCTTTGAGAGGAGAACAGGAACATGGTGTGGGGGAAATAACTTTAGAGTCCCCCAGCCTTGCTACCCAGTATCTTTTTGTTTGAGCTAGGGTTCTTGTGGTTGTCAGTTGTATTCCCTTAGTTATTATTTTCTACTTTTGGACGGGTCGACTCTGTGGTCATTAGTGTCTAGATTATTAGTTACTCTACAAGAGGCGGAAGCTCACGGCCTGAGCCTCCAGCTTGCCCATTCTTTATCATGCTTATTCTCCTGGCCCTGCACCCAGTTAGCCATCCGCTCATAGGAGCTTATTCCATCCATTCTGTCCTTGATTGCCTTTATGGCGGGTACTTTTTTACTTTTCCAGTTTTGGGCTAGTAGGATCTTTGCTACCGTGAGTATGTTTATGTTGAATATTGTGCCTATAGAGCAGCATACTCACCGTCTGATGGCGTGTACTGCGGGCAGGAGTATAGTATATTGATACGCAGAATGTCAGATGCACTTAAGTTTGACCTTTGTCCTATTTCCACATCAGAGTAAGGACTAAGTGGTGTGATGGTGGAAAGTCCAGATTTGCTGAATGCATACCTAAAGACAGGAAATCAATGTTTAATATAGTTAAGAACCAATGCATTTCTGCTAATACAGTTCAAATAAAATACAATTTAAAAAAAATTACAAAAATAAAATTACAAAAGAAAGAAAAAATAATAAAATAATGATATATATATTGACTCAACATGGCTCCTCAGACACATAAAAAATAATTGAAATTTGATGGTAGTTCTTCTTTCAAGTGGCTTTTGAAACTATAAATGGAACACTGCACTATACAGGAGATGTAGCCATAATTATGGGTGTAACATGCAGAAGCAGAATGTGAAAGATGGATGATGGGGTAAATGGTGACAAACTGAAAAGCTACCTGGAGTAATGGAGGATGGATTTCAGGTCATACTTGACCATCATGTTGTTGGTTTCGTACTTACAGAAGTTTTGCTCATAACCTGGGGGTGGGTGAGAGAAAATGCATAAATGTGATTTTTATTCTTTTACAAGAATTGTTAAGTCTGGACCCATTATACACCCACATATTTTATACAATAGTACTAAAATACAAGGAAGATAAGTCAACTTCACTCTAACAAATATTCTAGGTGGCAAGGAGACTTGTTAAGCCCAGCTAACTTTGCAGTTAAAATACAATAGAACATCAGCTGCATACCATTCAATATCTGGTCCCAGTTGACCTGGATGAAGCTTTCACGGTCTGCTCTAGAGTGCTCATGCCAAAACCCAGCCACGTGCATCAATTCATGCAAAGTTACTCCTCTTCCTCGCTCAGTCCTCAGACAATCAAAGGCCAAGGAGACCATCTGCATGCCGCCAGTTCGACCCACATAGGAAAAGCATCTTTAAAGCAAATTAACATTCTGACACCATTAGCATTAGGTTTCACGGTAATAGGGAAGAAGTGGAGCAATATACAGAAATCATAACCTCTATATGAAGTGTTAACATTTTATACATACACTACTTGTGCAACTGCATGTTATGGAACCATCTCCACTTTTTTCTATAAAAAGTCTGAAAGCTATAAAAATATGTGGCCATGAAAGCAAATATGTTGGGAACAAGTCTAGGAGATGGGAAGAGAGAGAACCTGTTTTTTTTTTTTATTTAAATAAATACACATACAATAGTCTTGTTGTGTTACTAGAACCCCCCACACTGGGATTTTCTGGAGATCCTCACCCCAGGGTTGGCTGAATAGAGATATAATCTCTCTCATTAGTGCGTCTCTTAAATCGAAGGCATGTGAGAGCCTCGAAAACCTGGAAAGCTCCCAAAATGATCTTCTCGTCAGAAGGCTCTGCAATAACAATGACATCAATTGTTGCAACAACAAAAAACCCAACAACACAAGCACACTTGGGATAGAAACATTTTTGGGTAATTCGAAATTAAGATATTATGAGGGCTGGAATGCCTTGGCTGAGAACATAAGCCTCTCCTTCCTGATTAGTGTGGCAGTCTCAAGGAAGAGAAAGGAGGTAGCGTGGACAGCCACTTGTGAACACAATGTTTGATTAAAACTGTTGAAATATTTTTTTTAAATACATGCTCCACCAAAACATATTTATGGTAATGAAGCAAATCTGGTGTGTAGCTAATACCCCTGCAGTCTCACTGCTCAGTTGTCTGCCATTTAGGAGTTCATTCCCTTTTTATTGTGTTAATGCAGTCATAGCCACACTTCTCCCTAGCACATGTGGAGTCACAAAAGTTTTAATTTTTAATAAGATCTATAGCACAGAGTGTTTACTTGCGAAGTTCTCATCTCCTGCTATTAGTTGAACTATAAGCTTGCATAGAAAGCTCCTGTAGATTATTAACCGAGCAGGATATATAAAATTACTATATTGTGCAAAAAAAAAAAAAAAAAAAGCTAACAACAACGTAGACTTTTTTTCAGATTAGGAAGTGCATAAGGATGCTGAGAGAGTCTCCGTCAGGAAAGTTGTGGCTAGGGCTATATAAACAAAGTGATTTAGTTCTTAAATGACAGAATTACACTCTAGTGGCATGATCTGTACACCTAGGAGTTGTTTTGGTGCTTTGCATGTCCTTTTTACACTGTATGGTAATAAGGTGCCCAGGAACTCCAGCCTCCTCAACAACTTCATTGAGAGGCAAATTACATGCGAGGAATGCCATGATAGAAACAACATTTTCTCCTATCACTGGTCCTTAAACACAAACATTAAATATAGATATATAGGTTTCTTTTTTATTTATTGACTACAAATTGCCTTATTGGGGACCTCTGCCCTCCCCAGTGCCAATACACAGGCAAGCTAGAGGAGAGGCCAGAGGGTGATTTGATCAAGTGTGTGCACACATGTATTAGTGTCTAAAAAGTGTACACATACAGGAATGAATGATTATCTTGATCGATGTACGTAGTAGCTTTTACATAGGTGTATCTGAGAGCTTCAAAGTATATGCCATGGGTAAGTGATGTATAGCAATTACTGGTCTGGGGTAGCCAAAAATCTAAATTAAGCATGGTAGTTGCACCCAAATATTTCTACATATAACAAACTAAAGGAATGTGAGCAATCTTTAAGGTCTTTACAAGTCGAGGATCAAAAGTATATTGATCCTCACTTAAATCTTAAAGATGCTGGAGTAATGAGTAGCAACTAAATACAAGTTTGAGTATAAACGCAGTAGTAGTAGAGTATAAAAGCAGTAGAGGTGTACCCTCACTCAGAGCCAAGTCAGGGATTTCCTCTCCCTACACAGATGCCACCAGTGAATCCCTTGGGTCCACAATAATTCTTTTAAAATATTAACACGCTCTCTTACAAAAAATTGGCAGCAGTGTGTGGGCAGATCTGAGGAAGTCAATTGGGTCTGCGAAACGCATCATTGATTACAAGTGACGTCATTATGTTCAACGTCATTGCCCCGCCTCCCAGAAACTTGTGAACTACAACTGTGATCTGGAGTTCAGGCAGGCCGGTAGCCGAACCCGAAGGTGGAAGAAGCATTCTACCAGGAGGGACTTTAGAATTTAATAGATAGTGTGCGTCTCTCTTGGAAATTATGTGATTTGTGAATAAAGGTAGTTTTCAAAAGCTGCTGCCTCTCCCTCAAGCAGTACTAAGTGGAAGCACCTAATACTAAGTAATTGTGTGGAGCATCTATAGCCTGATCAGTCTTTAATAATCTAAATTGACTCTATGAAGTAGTTTTGCAGATCTGATAATATCTTAGAGTTCTTAATAGCTTAGGGTTATTTCATTAATGCTTCTCAAGGACCACAAGGTACATGTATAGAAAATACGGAGTTAAAAATTGATTTCTCACTCCTCCTGGGTGGTATGTCCTCTACCAGAGGGCTGGGAGTTCTGCACAGTATCTTAGCTGTTCCTAGAACTGCACTCGATCTCAGATGTACCACCCGGAAGCCACTCCCCCAACTTTTATCACAACTGGGACTACTATTGCCTTCACATTCCACATCCTTTCTAGCTCTTCTTTCAGTCCTTGTATTTTTCATTCGTCTCAGGTTCTTTCTTCCTAATATTCTAGTCCCTGGGTATTGCCACATCCACCACTGCTGCAGTCTTCTAGTCCTTGTCTACCACTATGATGTCAGGTTGGTTAGCCAGTATTTGCTTGTCCGTCTGGATCTGAAAGTCTTGGCCCTGTCATTCTCAAATACCATTTGTGGTATCTCACATCTGGATTTAGGCAGGTCCAGCCCATATTCTGTGCAGATTTACACAATCCCAGCAATTTTGTTGTGCATCTCAGTGTGTGCTGTTTCTGCTAACATCTTGCAACTAGCCACTTTGTGCTAGATTGTTTCAGAGGCCTCTTTGCACAGTCTGCACCTTGAGTCTTGCCTGGTGTGGTAGATCCTCACTTCTATTGAAATGTTGACCTGTTGAATGATCAAGTCCTGCCTTTTCCAACCACTGGTAGTATATAGTCATGTAAGTGTGTGTGTGTGTGTGTGTGTGTGTGTGTGTGTGTGTGTGTGTGTGTGTGTGTGTGTGTGTGTGTGTGTGTGTGTGTGTGTGTGTGTGTGTGTGTGTGTGTGTGTGTGTGTATGTATACATACACAAAATTTTCCACTCTACACAATTTGATGAATCCATGTACAGTTTAAAAAAAAAAAAAAAAAAAAAGATTTACTACATAAGATTTTACCTACCATAGATCTCTGACAGGACATACGGAATAATTGCAGAACCATTAATCTTCGGCCACTTCAAAACCCGGGGACTAAATGAAGTCTTTGATTTCTGTGGCTTGAAATGAAGACATAGGAACACTTTATAGGAAGTTATTAAAAAAATAATAATCATATTGCATACTTATGCATGCACACACAACCATTTCAATAGGGCAGTGCACACAACTAATGTAGGATACATATGGGGCAAAAGCAAAAACATGCATATTGTGCTAGCTGAATTTTAAAATTATGTATGCATTAACCAGTGCCACTGCACTACCAAAATAGAGTGTAAACTTTATCTTTGAATCCAGCTGCATGCTACCAGAACAGGACTTACTTTTCTAATGATATCTCCTTCCATTAAAAAGCTGCTGTTTGGAAGATGTTCCGGGAAAAAACCTGAATATAAGAATAGGAGTATGAGATGTTTATTTACCGCACTATGCAGACTATGCACAAAGTACAACAAATATTCGAACCAAAATGAAAGAGCCAAAAGAGCGCAATTCTTCATACATAATCATCAACCCTACTCCCACAGTGAAACAGAACATACAGAAAACATAAAATGTATACATATCAAAGATTGCAGGAGAATAGAGAACTTTGTGGACTAATTGGGACTAGATGGACCCACAATTAAGGGTTTTTCACCCTGGCATCATCCTGCCAAGCTGACCGCCTCCAGGCCAGCCCAACACATGCTACACCATCCAAAGAGTCTGCTGAAGCACTCTCTGTATGGTACTAATGCCCGACACAAACAATGCAAACACTGCCATCTAGGGACAGTTCCCTGGTTTCCCCAGATACGAGACACCAGGGAACAAAATTGGGATAACAGGACAGAAGCTCCTAAATAAAAGGGCTGTATCTTCACCTTCCAGGCTGCGTACTGTGATTAGCAGTAAATTGCAGAAATAAAATAATTGAAGTCAGACAGCTTGGGTATATGGGCCAAGCATATGGACATATGACTTGCAATTTCTAGCCCAAGCAGCATTTTCACACACAAATACACTTTTTACATTGAAACTTTGCTTGAAGGAACACTCCAATCATCATACCAATTTCATCTATATGAAGTTATGGCGCCAGGAGGCCCCTGGGCACACACTTACCTTGAGGGGTTAAACTGTTCAAGAATGGTTTAACCCAAAAATATGACTCCAGCTTCTCAATCTCAGTTCCAGGAAGGTGCGCTGCTGATTGACTTCAGTTGATGCTTTCAGCCAACCAGTGACTCCCTTTTTTTTTAAAGTCTTGAAAAGGTACGTTTTTCGTACCTGGTCAGCTGCACTTTTGTGATGCATTCTTGGTGCCGAAACCTGGGAATGACTATTACATTTATCCGGACCTAGAGAGCAGAATAGGTGTCTCTGACTGAACGAGTGCTGCAGCAAGGTAAGAAAGAGCATTTTTCTACCTATTGCCTTCACTATCAGAGCTGTACTTATTCTGTGTGTCCAGGTAAATGTGAACTTAAAAATTGTCATGTCCCAAGAACACTTTTAAAAGGGACATACTATGTTCTGATAAAATGTCTTGTGAAAGTAGTTTACAAAGTACATCTGTGGGGTCCAAGTTATTCTTATTATCTGTGGTATTCTTTTGTCTTTGAGCATCAAGACCCACCACCACCATATCCTAAATAGTGGGGATTATACCACTATAGGCAATTCATACTAGAGCTGGCATAAGCTCTCTCAAATGTGAGAGTAATACTCTAATTTAATTACAGGCCTATTTAGCCTTGGCTTACTGCACTATTAGTTTTTTTCTGTGTTTCTTCTCACCCACATACGGAGACCCAAGACAACAAGACCCCCCAGTAGAAGGGACAACAGTTGAACCCATCTTCTGATCTAGAGACAATCCTATATGTGACATTTTTCACATCTGGAATAAGACTCACAGTATTTACTTTATTTTTTCACTTTATGATACTTTATGATATTTTGTAATTCATTTTATAACGTGTGGCGCAGCCCTTGTCTGTCTTTTTCCTTTGTATTTTCCTAAAAGGTTGAGAAGGATCACCTTTTTAGGGTTGCTGCCGTATTAATATCTGTTATCTAGCACTAACCCATCTATGTATTCTTTCCTCGTATTCTTATTATCTGCCTAGTTTATTTCCAGATCAGAATAGAAATAGAAATTCCCCAGGACAGGTATACTGACCTACACTAATTAAGTACGTTCTTGTACTAGCTTAAAGTGAGCAGCTGCATTTAAGTATTTTTAATGGGGAATTCACAGAGTACTCAGGAGGAATATACTGCCCTAACCATAGTAAAACATCATAAGGGCAAAGAGGCAGTCAAAACTTTAAAGAAGCTTCTTAAGAAAGCTGGGATGCCTTCTGAAGGCTCCCTTGACCCCCAGATGTTGAAAGAATTCATGGCCAATTATAAAGGGTGGTTAATGGATAACAACTTAGTTGAAGTCACCCTACAATGGCATGATACTGCAGTAGATCTGACTAAATGTAGTTGTAGAGAAACCACTAGGAATGGGGTACCCTACTACCAATGTTTTGGCGCCTTGGGATCAAACTCTACAGCGATAGTCCCTAGTATCTGATACAACCCACCACCTTATCCGGGTAAGGATGAGAGTGACCCCAAGTCGTCTCTCAAACAGACCGCTTAAGTCCCTGTCTCCACTACTAATCCATTTACTCGAAAATCTTATTGGATTTGCCCCAGATCTGAATGGACTAACTCTTGGTGGGAAGAAAAATGTAGAAGTTGTGGATTCCCTAGACCACCAGTTCACCACCTTACTCATGTCCCACAGAGTGAAGTACCACCAAATCCACTTTTCCAGTTAGTTGGAGCCACTCTGAGTCCCCCTGATGCTTCTGGTCTCCCAGAGCCTGACCAATCTTGCATCATTACCATAGAACAAAATACAGGCGCTGGTGCTGTTTCAACTAGCACCCCGCTCCACCGTGCACACATGGGAATTGTATAAGCAATGGACCCCTAGTGAGCAGTTGGCTATAATCCAACAGCTACCTGATGGGAAAAATGTTCCTGTGGGACTTTTACAGTCTATAGATGCTATTCAGGCCACAGTGCACCTGGAGAGATTTGAATCAAATTGTTGATTTAAAGGCTGGCCCTATAATGGCAAAAATCATTCCACAATACACTGACACCCATGAGGCAGACCTTAAAGCAGGTGAAGGTTACAAGCCTGAGTCATGGTTCTGGGCTAAGTACGCCTCGGGTAAAGCATATGTAACAGCCTTAAAAGGTCTGGGTTAAGGTTAAAGTTGAGGAATTCGCTCACTGATACTGTACAGGGCAAAGAGGAATCCTCTTGCCTGCCTTCAAATAGCTTGTGAATCGCTGGGGTACTCAAAAGCGTACCCCCTGTCTATCAGACATTTGGTTAATTGTTTTATGGATGATTTACACCCCCAACCCCCTTTTGAACTGCATTACAGGCAGCGTGCCCTGAGTGGAGAGGCCTCAAGTACTCTGATTTAGTTAAAGTAGCCATGGGGTTAGAGGTCAATTCTAACACACACAAGAAACCAACAGCCCTAATGGCTGTGACTGCCCCCAGACAGCCCAATAGCCGACAGCAAGTAGTATGTTGGATGTAGTATGTTGGAATTGTGGAAGAAAGGGACACATCAATATTAAATATTAAATATTTAAAAAAACTACATTGTGCATAACATTTATTTAACATTGGCTGTGTAGTGGGCCTAGAAATCTGATGGTCTGTCCACATTGTTATTCCCTAAAATGTAGGTTTCTTTCCCCCTCCCCCCAATGTATTGATGCACTAGTGCCAAGTTAGTACATTTGCCAAATATTGTTGCAAGTCTTTACAATATAGAGAAATCCAGGTGGTACATTATATATTTTACTGAAACGTTACTTACGTTGATTGATATGCAGGATGGTATCATTGTAGACCACCTCTGCTCCAAACAACCCTGCAACAGCAGACAAAAGTAAAAACACAGCCATAGGGAAAAGCTATAAAAAGCCAGCTAGACTAAGTTAGTTGTACTTTGCATGCTACACAAACACCAAAAAGCTTTTGCCTAGACAGTATTCAGGCAAATGTTATTTTTTCCCACTCTCCAGATCTCAAAGCCAAGAAAGAGGCTCAGGCAACCTGGGAGACTGGCCCCTTCTCACCAATAACCACTAAGTCAACCTGGGAAAGTAGCCCCTGACCAGAAATATTCACACAGGCTTTCTTGGAAAGTGGCCTCTTGCTTGCCTATAATCGCATAGGAATCCCTCAAGGAAAGTCTCCCTACTTGTCAATAAATGCCATTGGTGCTCCAGGAAAGTGGACCCTGCTCACCACTAGGTGGGATAAGTGGTTCCTGTCTCCTGACACACAGGATCTACAGGAAATAGTCTCTACTCGCGATAGGTTGCTAGACAGTGACACTCCAAGAGAGTGCCCTGTGGTTGTCACCAATCACCCCTGCTTGCCAGTATACCTGCAGGCACCTTAAAGAAATTGACTGCTAGTCAATACATGCCCAAGCACCCTTGGAATGTGGCTCTTGCTAGCCAGTAGGTGCCCTGGCCTGAATAATGTTTAGGCAAAAGGCCATTTGTCTTCAGCCACTTACCTTAATCAAGCGCCGGTGACCTCTCCTTCCCCTCCGACATCCTGAGTGGAGCTGAATGCGCATGCAGGGCCAGAGCCGACTTCAAACCGCCCATAGGAAAGCATTACTCAAAGCTTACCTATGGACGCTCTGCGTGCTCAATGGGATTTTCGCATTGAGCGTCGCGGAAGCGCCTCAAGCGGCTGTCAAGAATACAGAATCTAGGGGCTGGATTAACCCTGCAGAGCTACGGTTTCTGCTTGGGCAAATTCCCCGACTTCAATTTGCATATTCCGGTCTAGCAAAAGTCTCAAGTTCATATACTGTCAATACTCTCTACTACTGTAGCACATGTGCAATCCGTAAATAGAGTAAGACATATATACATAACAATACTATAAATACAAGTGACAACTTTTTGGTTTAACATCATAAATTATAATAAAAACTATACTCCTAAAATTAGCCAAGGTGCAAAACCTATAAAATACACGAGGAGGGAAAATAATTAATGTTAAAAATTAAATAAGAACATTGGTACTATGGATAAATAATTTAACATGCAATGCATTATTTCACAAGAATTAAGAGGTATATCGCCATATGGACCAAAACAAGGTTTCCTGGCCATTCATGGCAGCATCACTAATGGGCTAGCTCCGCCCCTAACAGGAACAGGACAGGAAACAATCAATTATAACCAGACTGTAGGTATAAAAAGGTCCCTCCTCCCTCCAACTCAGTCTTTTTTTCTGTCCTTAGCAGGACAAACAGGAATTATATCCTATACTACATTTTCTTTTGAGGCCACCTTCCCATGTGAACCATGGGTTCTTACCAGATAAAGTTCAGCCTCTTTTTATCTGAAGAACTCAGTAATCAGCCTGCAAAAGCAGGACTAACTGAGTTAAGGTACATTTTAGTATATGTACCTCTTCATGGAAAACAGGGCTGTTTTTAAATATACAATGATATGGCGTCGGTGTATCCTTAAAAATTCCTCTTTAAGCATCAATAACCCCCTCAGAGATTGTGGCAGAAAGAAGCTGGGTAAGTGACTAAAAAAAAAATCATTGGTCTTACCCTAAAAACCCATTGTAGAATAGATTCAGTGTTTTGTTTTCTTGTATTTTCATATTGGAGGCTTGCAGAGTTCTCTGCTTGCTTGTTTTCACCGGCCGGGGGATACTTCGGGGTTCGGAGGGCGGGGCATGCGCAGTAGCGTTGTGAAATTTCTATTGTGCATGTGCGAACCGCCGGGCTCTTAAAGAGATATCGTGCCAAAATTTTAAAAAACGGGAATCCTATATAAAAACGCTCTGGTGAAGTTTTGAAGTCTCTGGCTGAAGTATGGAACAGTTTTTGGTGTGTTTAAAGGCTGCCCTAAACTGAAATTCTTGATACATAAGGTAATTTGTTTTTTCTTTTCTTGTTGAATTTGGTATTCTGTTGTTCAGTTATAGTTGGAATGTATAGGATAACAAAAATATTTTTTTGTTTAAAATAGATGGCTTCTCACTCTGCCTCAAGATCTTTGTCTAGAAAACATAGGTGAGCCTCACATACGTTTACCCTTTAAAAGGGGGGTAAAAGAGTGCCACTATGGGCCAAAAATATATTATTGTTAAAATGGCCTTTTTTTTTTTTTTACAGCCCGAGTAATCCAAAAGAGGAATCACCAAGGAAGCATAAGGAAAAAACAAATAGGTGAGTTAACTGCAATCAAATTGCACCCAATGGAAGAAACTTATGTCAAGATGGTCTGACAGAAGCCGCTGAGGGAAGAAAGTCTCCACCAACAGAACTGAAAAAATGGATTACAGAGGCAATTGCAGAAGGGTTTAAATCCACAAGCAAGATGTCCTCATCTAAACGCTTGAGAAGGGAAGAAATCTCCTCCGAGTCAAGTGATAGTATGGAGATGAAGGATATGTCGGACGAAGAGGAAGGTGAAGTTAACTATGCCTCCAGAAATCTGTATTCGAAATCTGTTGATAAATTGATCAACATAATAAGAGAGACCCTGAGATTCCCAGAAGAAGAATCTGCAATAAAGGAATCTGATAGATATTTTGAGGATTTGAGAGCTAATAGACCTACCTTTCCGGTACACTCTACAATAAAAGAGATAATTTCCCAAGAATGGCAGAAACCTGAGAGAAAAGCGATGTTGAAGAACAAAGCATTCAGATTATATCCGTATGCTAAAGAAGATTGCAAAACCTGCTGTACCCAAGATTGATGCCGCAGTTATACATATGGCAAAAGAGACAGCCCTTCCTATTGACTCCACGGCTTATTTGAGAACCTATGGAGAAAAGGCTAGAATTCCAGTCTGATAAAGTCATACCCGGTGTTAGGATCTGCGCTACATCCAGCAATAGCATTAACAACACTGTCAAGAGCCTTCAAAGTATGGCTAGACAACTTAGAGGAGGAGATCGCCAAAGGAGTTGGAGAGATCATCTTCTGGAAGGACTGAGAGATCTGAAGTTGGCGACAGAGTTTTGCTCTGAAGCATCCCTGGATGTTACCAGAATGGTGGCAAAAAGCATAGGCCTGTCTATAGCAGCAAGAAGAGCATTATGGCTGCACTCCTGGGGAGCAGACTACGCCTCTAAAGCGTCCTTGTGTGCTCTTCCGTTTCAAGGTGATCTCCTATTTGGAAAGGTCTTGGATGAAGCTATCCATAAAACAGCAGATGGGAGAAAAGCCTTTCTTCCACAAGTCAGAAAATATGGTTCTACTGCATGGAAAGATAGACGATATAAAGACCGTGCCTTTCGTGAAAGCAGGGCATATAAACCTGGGAAAGAGTATTTCAGATCCAATTGGAAAAACACTCAGCAAAAATCTTCCAGAGGAAGAGGAACTAAGCCAGGGAAAAACTTCTGAATGTGTGCCGGCCCAGCCAGGAATTACAGGAGGAAGACTGCATCTCTTTTATCCTGTCTGGGTCCTATCAATATTGGCTGAAGGATACAGGTTAGAATTTGAGGCCATTCCAACAAAGGATATGTTTACCCAGTCTCGGGTAGCAAAAGGAGAAAAAGACAGCTATGAGAGACTGCATCTCGAAACTCCTAAAAGAACAGGTGATAGAATACGTTCCAATAAAAGAACAAAGAAAGGGTCACTATTCTACAGATTTTCTAGCCCAGAAACCATAGAAGAAGTGGAGGCTGATCCTGGACTTTAAGAAATTGAATTCGAAACTAAAAAGAAAAACATTCAAGATGGAATCCATTTCGACTATTGAACCAATCAGTATGGGGGATTGGATGACGTCTATCGATTTGAAAGATGCATATCATCAGATTCCAATCAATATATGGCACAGAAAGTTCCTCAGATTTTGTGTATTTGGAAGACACTACCAGTTCAAAGGACTTCCATTTGGACTAAGCCTGGCTCCGAGAACATTCTCAAAGGTACTCATCACATTAGTAGCAGTAATCAGAAAGAAAGGGATAGAGATATACCATTACTTGGACGATTTTCTGATTATAGGTCCATCCAGCCAGAAGGTAGCTCTCCACACTCAGTGGGCCATAGAGATCCTCGTGAACCATGGTTGGAAACTGAACCTGGAAAAGAGTATGACAGTTCCCTCTCAGAATATTGTATTCCTGGGGGATGCCATAGATACGGTAATCCGTCGAGTGAGTTTGTCTACAGAAAGAATGGAGAAGATTCGGACGAAGATCAGGATTCTTCACTACAAGAGATACATTACAGCAAGGGAATTCATGAGCCTTATAGGATCTCTTACATTGACTATAGGACTGGTGAAATGGGCCCAGTGGAAGATGCGTCCCATCCAAATACAATTTCTAAAGGAATTCAAGAAACAAGAGGGCAACTGGGAATCAAAAAATTCCTATTTCTCAAAAAACAATAGACGATCTGTCGTGGTGGGAGAAAAACAAGAACTTATCCTTGGGATTTCCTCTGGAGGATCCACTATGGAAAACAGTTACTACAGACACAAGTCTCCAAGGATGGGGTGTGCATTTAGAAAACAAATGGATACAAGGCACATGGACACAGAGAGAGAAAGTTGCACTCGAACCTAAGAGAACTAAGAGCAATATTCTATGCCCTGCAGGGATTTCGACAAGATATAACAAATTCTTGGGTGAGAATCCAGTCAGACAACAGAGCAGTGGCCTCATATGTAAACCGAGAAGGTGGGACCAGAAGCAATGCTCTATTAAGGGAAATATTCCCATTGATGGAATTAGCTCAAAACAGCCTACAGGGCCTGAAAGCAGTATATCTTCCAAGAAAAGAAAATGTTCTGGCAGACTAAGCAGAACGATGATTCAATCAGGAGAATGGCAATTAAACCCAGAGGTATTTCATCAGATATCGTTAAGGTGTGGCACACCCCAGGTCGATTTGATGGCTTCATATCGGAATGCTCAAGTCCTGAAGTATTTTTCCCTAAAGGCAGATATCAATCAGCAGGACAAGATGCCTTTTCCCTTCCCTGGGACTTTGATCTGGGGTATGCGTTCCCTCCCCTGCCAATGATTCACAGGTTGTTGAGAAAAATTCGGAAGGAACGGAAGACAGTGATTGCCATAATTCCAAGCTGGCCGAGAAGACCGTGGTTCCTCCATGGCCTCTTCCTCAGAGAGCAGATCTGTTAATACAAGGTCCAGTGATGCATCCCAACCCAGATCAATGGAAACTGGGGGCTTGGCTCTTGAAAAGCAGAGACTTATAGAGCAAGGATTACCAGAACCTGTTGTGAATACACTGTTAAAATCCAGAAAAAATTCCACCTCCGCGTGTTACCACAGAATATGGAATTTATTTCAATTATGGACAAAAAAAGAAATCCAAGAATTTCCTACAACCTTCAAATATAGATATTCTGGAATTTCAACACGAAGGTCTGGAGAAGTGCCCGAGCTTAAGCACTTTAAAAGTACAGTCATCAGCCTTGTCGGCTCTGTGTAACACCTCCTGGGCATCAGACTATCATTGCGAGGTTCTTTAAGGCAGCTATACGCATAAGACCTCCATCTAGAAACTATGCACCTCCGTGGGATCTTCCTTTAGTACTGGATGTTTTGTCAGACTCCCCCTTTGCTCCGTTGGATGAGTTGGGTATAATTAATCTGACGTACAAGACCTTGTTCTTGGTGGAAATCACTACGGCTAAAAGAATGTCTGAAATTCAAGCCTTCTCCAGTGATCCAAATCACGTTCAGGTTTTCCATGATAGGATTATTTTAAGACCTAGAATGGAATTCCTACCTATGGTGGTTTCATATGTTCACTTGGCACAGGAAGTGATTCTCCCTTTTTACCAAAACCCTTCTTCTTCGGAAGAAGTTAAACTCCATCAGTTGGATGTAAGGGAATGTGTAATAAATATATATAGAGGTCTCTAAGCTATTTAGAAAATCGCAGCACTTATTTCTTATCCCGTCAGGATACAGAAAGGGAGAGGCGGCCTCTATGGCTACTTTAAGGCGATGAGTTTCGTACACCATAAAAATGGCATATGAACTCAAGAATCTCTCCCCTCCGGAAAAGATAAAGACCCATTCTTCCAGAGCATTGGTTACATCCTGGGCTAACTGGGCAGAGGTTCCTCCTGACGACATATGCAGGGCAGCCACCTGGTCATTGCCTATAACCTTCAAACATTATAAGCTGGATGTGGCTTCTTTCTCCTCATCCTTCGGTAGAGGGGTTTTGTCATCAGTGAATCTCTCATGAATAAATCTCTTTTTGCAGCAAAATTATTGGGGTCTCTTTTTATTCACCCTCCCTTTGTTGCAGAACTTGGGTATTACCCATTAGTGATGCTGCCATGACTGGCCAGGAATACAGAAAATGTTCTCTTTTCTTTTCCTGGCTATAATTCATGGCAGCATCAGCAACCCTCCCAATTTTCTTAATTTTTTTTTATTTAGCTTTATACTAGACTGTGGGTTGGAGGGAGGAGGCACCTTTTATACCTACAGTCTGGTTGTAATTGATTGTTTCCTGTCCTGTTCCTGTTAGGGGCGGAGCTAGCCCAATAGTGATGCTGCCATGAATTATAGCCAGGAAAAGAAAATCACGGTAAGTATGGAGAAAATTTTCTGTAGTAGTGCACAAAGAGAACATATCACAAAAAAGCACAGTGTTTAAGAAGTGGTTTTGCACAACACAACACGCACATAACCCTCAAAATTTGGACATGAGGTGGAGGTTTCAACCCAATGGATCCATCGTAGCAGTTTTAGAAATCGCCAAAATGCCATCTAAAATCTACAAGTCTAAAATAATCAAATACTTTAAATTTTTTTTTTTTAAATGGCAAATTTCTAAATCATTGCATCCATTGGGAATTAGGGTGTCTTGTCACTTGTCTACTAGAGGTGCTCTCTCCTTACAATCCTACTATGTTTGCAGACGGACATTTGTATTATTAAAGTTAGAGAATCTCTCCAAACACCATAACCATGTACAGACTGCTGTAGTGGTTATGGTGCCAGAAGTGTCCTTGTATCCTCCCTATACAAGTAGTCAAAGCATTTGAGAAAAGACTGACAATTTACCTGGGCTCCGCAAGGTGTCCACCGTCTCTCTTTGGACAGAAGCACTTGCAAGGAGCTTTGAGCTCAGTGTCAATTGAGCGCTTACAGCCTAGAGCTGAAGAGGCAGCAGGTAAACCACAGGTAAGTTATCAAAAATTCCAATTAGAGACATATTGTGGAGTGAAATTTCAGCATAATTAAAAGAGAACAAAAAATAGGGAACACTGTTTTATGTAAAAAAAAAAAAAGTAGTCTGCTGCGTCTTGCCATTCCCTTAATACCAGACCAGAAATTTCTCGGTAACCAGCATCTGAGCATGATAGGAGTTAGAATTCAGACACAGGTCCCCTGTTACAATACAATACCGTTAACAGATTTGTGTATCATTTAAGAATGTTCATTCCGCAATTCAAACATATTAAATACTTGCAACTTCATTCTCCAAGCTTCATTAGCAATAAAGATCTAGAAAAATTCTCCACTTCAGTCATAATTACAGTTTAGTTATTTTTAGCCAAACTTTTGTCATTTGGACTTTTATTCAGTGTATTGTGTGTGTCCCCTAAAATAATGTATGTATCTAGCGGTTTTAAACATAATTCAGGATATTACATGTATCAGCATATCACAATACCTGCCACCCCAAACAGCCAAATGGCCACCACCAGACTCATTGTTCCTAGCTGAAAAGCCTTGAAGGAAGAGTCAGCTTGGAGGTTTATAAACACCACCTGTCCCCATTTAACAGCAAGTGAGCTTTGATTCTTGAAAGCAGTTTAGCACTAAACCAATTAAATCATTTTAGTTTAGAAAAAACATTTTTCTTGCAGACTACAGGGAAACAGCATATAATTAATACATACTCTCACAGCCACCATGCATAATTCAGGTTATTAAAAATCTAAACCGAAATCTGCATAAAAAATTTAGGCAGATTATTTACTGACATGACTGGAATAGTTTATTTATAACATATGTATGCTACATGTGTGGGAGCATGTGTTCAAACTACAAGTCATCCATGCAGTCCACCTGTACTGGATTTCCAGGGATTTGTTACAGGATTTGTTTAAAACATATGGCATTAAAGGAACACTATAGTCACTCACACTATAGTGTTTCGTTTCAATGAAGTGGTCTGGGTGCAGATGTCCTGCCATTTTAGTTTTTTAGAAACGTTTACATTGCACGCTTAACCCCTAAAGGATAAAGACACCTGTCAAAGTTCTGAACTAAAACAAAACCTAGAATTTGAGCTATATCTCTGTTCAACCAAAATTTACATCTTTTATATTAAGTGCACCCACACTTATTATATATCATTTTGATAACACATGACAAAATCGTCTCCTGGCACTATAGCTTCCCCCTCCATTAAGCCACCCCCCCATCCCGCTGTGGTTACAAAACCCTTTTGTCACTTACCTGGGTTCAGTGCCTATGTGCGTGGCTCAGGTCTGCCTTCTCTGATGCCGATGTCAGCTGGCAGGGGAGACCTAATGTGCATGCGTACATATTAGGATTTACCCATAGGAAAGCATTATTCAATGTTTTCCTATGGGGTTTGGGGGGACGCTGGACATCCCCATGGATAGCGTGAGAACGTCCTGCGTCAGACAGCCAAAAGTCCCTCTAGTGGCTGTCTGGTAGTCAGCTACTAGAGATTGAGTTAACCCTAGCATGTAATTATTGCAGTTTCTTAAAAATTGCAGTAATAAGCTGCTCGGGGTTAAGGGAACTGGGACCTGGCACCCAGACCACTTCAATGAGCTGATGTGGTCTGGGTGCCTTGAGTGTCCCTTTAAATATTTATTTATGAAACATACTTTAATATGAATAATATCTAGAAACGTGTAGAGAAATTAAGAAATTTTATTTTTTTAAAGTTTTATATTAAAGAAATACCCGCACTCTTATACATAATGATTTTATTTCTTAATAGCAATAAAGATAAAAATATCCAAAGTTAATCCATATACACTCATAGAGAACTCATATCCCTGTAGTTGATAAACATATAAAGTAAACTAAATACAATATTTTAATATTTAATCTTGTCATATATTGCATATGTACATCACTAATCCAGATAGCAAAAAAAACAAAAATATACTCTGACAAATATTCCAATTAAAGGGACACTATAGTCACCAGTGCGTCTACATGTATTCCTGACCCTATAGTGTTAACATGACCATCTAGCCCCCCTGTGCCCCTCATGCCTACATAAATATAGTAAAAATCCTACTGTATTCATGCCAGAAGCTGTAAATCTGCATGCTGTTAGACTCAGAAAAACAAGCAGCCTGATCCAATCACAATGCTTCCCCATGGGATTGGCTGAGACTGACAAAGAGGCAGATCAGGGGCAGAGCCAGCACAATTCAAACCCAGCCCTGGCCAATCAGCATCTCCTCATAGAGATGAATTGAATCAATGAATCTCTATAAGGAAAGTTCAGTGTCTGCATGCATTGGGAGGAGATACTGAATTGCAGGATGCTCGTGCACAGCAGATCTGAGTGGATGGAGGCATATTATGCCTTTGTTTCACTCTGAGTGACTGCAACTGGAGATGTTCCTGGCTTTCAATGTAAACACTATTTTCTCAGAAAATACAGTGTTTACATGAAAGGGTGCAGGTCGCTATAGTTCTCACCTGAACAACCTCATTAAGCTGAAGTTGTTCAGGTGACTATAGTGTCCCTTTAAAAAAAACAATCTTTCTAAAACGGAAAAAATTATATTTATTTATATATATATATTTTTTTTTTATTCTTTAATTTAGCCGTGCAGTGTTAAAGTACAAGCTTTCGTATTGACTTTATGACTTATAACAAGAGGTGTGAAGACAATGTTTAAACAAGTAAGGTCAAGACGTACTGCACTTTTTCTTTTTTTTTTTTTTTTAAAGAAAACAAGCTTATTCACATTAGGTCAATACATTAATAGTAAGGTCATAGAAACATGCAAAATGCAAGTAGCTTAAACTAGAGGCAGATAAAGTAAACAACAAGGCTTATTGTAAGAGATTACTATAGAGTCATAAACTTAGGTTACAGGGCTTTGTTGCCACTGGGTTCCCCCATCACGAATAGGGAGCAGACTTTACCCTTGGTATATGGATGTGAACACGTTTTGCATGGCAAATGGCGTCTATTAATCTCTGATAGTGTTCAGCATGTGGACCCATTTGCAGCGAGGGGAGCGTGGTCAGCCTACCCCACTAGTCGGCAAGTGCAGGGTGTACATTGAGAGTTCACTTGGGTTCTGCTTCCCCATCACGGTCTCGTGCCGGAGTAAGTGTGCTGGCATCATGTGGGTAGGGTACCTCGGGTGCAAAGTGCCGGTTCCGTGCTCAGGTGAGAGTTTCTTCCGCCCCTTGGCCCACAGAGGAGTCCCCTCTGTGTGTCTGCTGAATCGGGTGCTCCTGGTGGTCGGGTTCTTTACTCCCCTAGAGTGGGCAGAGGCTCGGAGTGGTGCAGAATGCCGTCTGTGTTTGCGTCTCAGTGCCCGTTGTTGCTGGGTCAGGGCAGCGCTGCGAGTGGCTCTCGGTCCCAGCAGATAGGGAGCTTTGTGGGGAGGCTTTTGGGCGCTTGGATCGCCCTGCTTGGGTTCCTGCTGTGCCAGTTTTGCGGCGTGAGTGGTAGATGCCTGTGGTTGCTTGCCGAGGCGATGGCAGAGTGCCTCAAACTTGGCATTAAACGCTTCTCTCCACTGCCGGATCTCCAGGGTGTCCGCTGCTGCGGCCATCTTGTCTTCGCCACGCGGCATTCAGGGCTTCGTCCGCGTTCCAGACGGATGGTAAGTCTGGGTTCCCAGTGGGGGCTGGGATAACCCCCGCCGGCCCAAGGAGGGGGAACAGGGCTCCTGAAGTGAAGCACCACGTGCAAGGCACCCCCTTGGGAGATCGTCCACCTCTCGCCTCGGTCCGTGCCTGCCTAGGTAGGCCTCTGAGCAGAATATAGTTGTTGCTTTAGATATGGGTCCGGTCCGGACTAAACAGTGCGCTCCCAACTTGTTTAGTAGTCTGGATGTAGCTCAGCGTCTCGTTTTGCAGCGTTTTCTATCAGAAATAGCTTGTTTTTAGCTCGGTTTAGCAGGAGCCTGGGAGAATCATGTCCAGCCGGCTCGGACACCAGGCCCCGCCCCCCATATTTATTTATATTTTGACAGGCACTAGAGCCACTTCCTCCTCCTCCAGACTCAGTAAAATCATTTGATGCACATCTCAAATCCACTGCAATGTATTGGAGGAGACTGTGAAGATGTCAGCAGGCTTAGTCAGTGGAGTCCCGCTAATGGGGATGGACAGAAGGTAAACTATAGTCTGGAAATAACAATTGGCAGTCGCAGCATAGCCTGAGCATCATGGGAAATTCAGCCTACAACAGCATGGGCACTCACTGCCCTATTAGTTCAATACTACATATTTTTCATGCAGTATATTGTTATATCTGTGCATGTTTAATTCTGCTCAATAATCGTGCACCATAAAAATATGTTTTGAATGTTCAATACTGCTTATTTATCATGCTGTATAAAAGGATGCTGTTTGTAAATGTTCAATGATGCCTATTTATTATGCAGTATAAGTAAAGCATCATAGCCACTGCATCTTAAAGGAACACCCCACACACCTAAAGGATTTCAGCTAGCTGTAGTGCTTTAGGACTAATGTTTCTGTCAGTGCAGGCTTATATTGTATAAGTGCCTATTTCAAAAGAAGCTGGGAGACTTTCTGTCCCTACTTGCTTTGCCCCTTTCGTTTTAACCCTGCAATGCAAAACATTTTAGTTTTGTAGGAACAGCAACAGTTGTCACGGGTTCTCTAGGCTATTGTCGCCGTTCCTTCGATCCTCCACTAGTCCTAGTTCCAGATGTGCTGAATAGTGTGATAGCCCTATTTATCTGCGCAGTTTCCCCAATATAATGGACGCAACCAGTCGTTTTGGGTAAAAGATTAACTGTTTTATTAAGGCCAAGTTGCCTGCTTATATACACAGACCCCCAGCATGGGGTCTCCATACAATACAACAGTAACCCCGCCCAGGCTTCTCTGTGTCTGTGAGATAAATGGGTATGCTTTTAAACTAATTATCTCCCAGGCACTAGCAGTACAATACATTACAACACAATGCATCCCAAAATACATGTAAGACTGATAGGAACCCCCACAAGTATTATATCCCCAGATAGCCTGGATCTGAGTGCCAAAGTTGTCCGAATAGCGCTCACATCCATGTAATATAGCTGAATCGCCACGAGGGTAAAATTTTGACCGACCGCTCATGTGGCTGTTGCCCAAAATAGTACCATAAGAAAAAAGATAGCAGCTGGTCAACTTTTGTGAGTACCCATACAAATGTAACCAAAGGCTCCCCCTGGCTCGTAGAGAGCGAATGGTCTCCCTGATCGGGAGAGTCTTTTCCCCGAAAAGCGCTCTCCTGGTTTGTCTGGGGACGGAGCAGACAACTGTATGGTTTTCCCAGGGTTCATGAGGCAAAGTGTCCGAAGTATAGTTCCACGCACTCAACAACCAAGTAGTACTGCCTACAGTCGGGAGACAAAATGGTCGCCATTTGCTAGAGCACGTCGGTTCGGTTATACAAATGGCATCTACCCAGAGAGAGCACTTAAGTTAGTGGTTTCTTTGCGAGCCAGGGGGTTGTCTGTGTTCGGTAGTTACAAAGTACCGGACCAAAGGAGAAACAGGTGGGGTTCGGTGAGTATGGGAAAGTTAAAGAGGGGAGTGTATAAGATAAGTCATGGCTTCTTTGACAGATGGATCCTGTTGTGGCTGTCTACCTGACAGCCACTAGAGATGATTCCCCTGTGAGAAGCAAGTCAGACTCGGTTTCACAATTAAATGTTGCTCACAGAGAGCATTACCTTGGCACAGTGCAGCAATTTGCTGTGCAAACACGAGCCTCCCAATACTTCCTCATGGAGAAACATTGGATTGGCTAAGATCATCAATTTTGATGATCTCAGCCAGGAAGGTGGGGTGGCAGGACAAGTAAAACTTTCTATTTACTTCACACGAGGAGGAGAGGCTCTGATCTAAATACACTAGATTGTTAGGAATACATATTTGTATTCCTATCGCTATAGTGTTATTCTAATAAATATGATCAAAATAATAATGGAGTGATGGATGGAGAGTTGTTTCAAAATATGGACTTTAAGTGTTGTAAAGTTGTAAATGGAGTATAAACCAATGGAACTGCTGTTTCCTTTGGTTTCCATTGTTATTGTCCCACATTTAGAATTTTGACACACTTTTCATATTGTTACACGTTGATGAATCTCTCCCATTGTTTTAAAAAAATTGTTATTATACAATCACCATACCCATCATGGAACCAAGGCTATGCTAATTTGATTTGCACATGATCACCTTCTTGCCATGCATAGGAGCTTATTAATGTCTTTGTTATGCTGGATCTGTCAGCTGCACTAGTGATCATTGTATTTTACTGAACTTACCAAAGAACCAGGTCGGGTGAAGCCCTTGAAAAAGGAGTCCAAGTCTTCTTATATTCAACAGGTACTGAGAGTTGTCTCATTTTAGGGAATGGTCTCTTGACCTTTGAGGTACCTCAAGACGATGTTATTATCAGGCTGTTGAGAAACTCTTGGGAGAACTAATCTGGGATCATGGATTGGAGAGCCAACTGCAAGATGATGACAGTCAGAGTCCTTTTGTAATAACCTGACAGAATTTCATTTATGACCACTCTGACTCAGAAACTGCCATATGGATGGGGCAGAACTTGCTTATAATATACCCAGACCAGTGGCAGGACTAACGTAGAGAGGGCCCTGGTGCAAGAATGTTTTGGGCCCCTCTCTATTGCAAGTGTGGCCAAAAGGTAAATACCCATTGTTGTACAATTCCAATGATACTATGCCAGCTGTGGGTCTACCATTTGCCCATCCTTGCAGGGTTGTATTTGTGAGCAGTGTTTGTGTGTTTGAATGTAAGCGTGTTTTTGTATATAAGCGTGTAAGCATGTTTTCCTAATACATATACCACTACACACATGCTGCTTAATGCACACACCCATGCTGCCTAATTCGTACATCCATACACACATATTGCCTAATACATAAATCCATATAGGCACGCTGCCTAGTACATACATCCATACACACATACTGCCTAATGCATACATCCATACACATATACTGTCTAATGTGTACATTTAATACATAATTTATAGCTGTGATAAATAATGTATTTAATGCATTTGGTGGGATTTCATTTATAATTTTCTAGCGCTTAATTTATAATAATGGTCGGATTTAGTTTATGTTACAGTGACCTTGTCTGACATTTTTAAAATATAATATATAATTATATTAAAATGTATTATAAATATCATTGGTCAGATGGTCACTTATACACTCTCACTAACACAAACTTACTGACGTATACACACACACAATGTCACTTACACATTCTCACTACCACAAACTTACTGACATATACACAAACACACACAATCTCACTAACACACTTTCTAAAGTATACACACACACACAATGTCACTTACACACTCTAACACACACCTACTGAAGTATGCACACACACTCTTACTAACACACTGAAGTATACACACTCACAATGTCACTTACACACTCTAACACACACCTAATGAAGTATACACACACACGTAATAAAGTATACACACACACAATGTCACTTACACACATACACACACAGACAGACACACACACACAAGACACACATACATACAGACAGGCACACATACATACAGACACATACACACAAACACACACACACACACACGCAATGTTTAAGTCACCCTCCTGTTTCCTACCTTTTAGGTGCAGGAAGGTGACTTTCCCTGGGGTCCAGTGGTGGCTCAGGTTGATGGGAGTCAGGGTTCCCACTCTGACTCCCTCCTCTCTTCCTCCCACGTGGGCTCTGTGTATTCTGGGAGGAGTGACTGGGGCTGTCTCTTCCTCCCAGCGCGGGATGTCATCATACAGGGCCTGGTCGCGCTGTTAAAGAAAAAAGAAAAAAGTATTCCTGATCAGGAATACTTTTTTCTTTTTTGTTATTTTATTGTTTCTAGTATATTATTACTTTTTATATTTTTATTTTTTTTATAAATTCTTTATTTTTGTAGTGCGTACAGATATAACAATTGCTTAGGAGGTACCCCAAAGGCAGTCCTCTAGCGCAGTATGTACAGTGTAACATAGGGGTTGGCAGTAGATATCGCACATTTTTGTTTTTTGAGTAAGGAGATTGATGGTATAGGTTTACATTGCCTAGGTTCAAAAAGCAGCATACCTTTTGTTTATATATGACAATAAGTATTTACAAGGGTTTCGTTGCAAAGTCTGGCATTTTAAACATTACTAGTTTGTTCAGACCCTGAAAAAGACAGGTTATGAGGTTTCGACAGTTGGCAATAAACATGCTAGACTGGATCTCTATGTGACAATTCTGTCTACGCTTAAGTTTATATCATGGTTTTGAGAGAACAAGTTACTAAAATGGTGGTTAACTATGAACGTGGTGCTGCATGTCCCATAACCTAGTACCCAGGGTTTCTGTAAGGTAAGTTTTACACGCTACAACAATCCTGCTTGATCTGGCGTTGTGTCGCCATGAGTCCCACTAAGGTGATAAGTTGCATGTAATTATCTTGGTGTTCCATACCATGTTCTACTTAGATTGGTGTACTATATCTGCTTATTTCGTGTGAGTAGGTCTTAGTGGAGGCCATGGAGCCACGGGTTCTCACCACACTACTCGCCAATGTATCCCTAGTCCAGGGCATTGTGGCTAGGTGTGACGTGTATAATCTTAGGTTTCCCTATCATGAAATTGGCTCGTGTGCCTCCTGGGTAGGTGTACTATGTGTGTGTGTGTGTGGTCCTTGACCCCTAACCGACGGGGGCCTCGGGGGGGTTGGTGGAGAGGTATTATTGATATATGAGCATGCTCCGGCTTAACGGTGGCTGTTGTGGGGATTGTGGTGCCCCTCAATTGTGGTGTTGGTATGTGGGTCAACTCCTGTGAGTCGGCCGTTTAGCTTAAGTAAGTGTTATATGGGTGTGTGCCCTGCTAGGTTCCCTCTATGGTGCTAAACCCTTGGTATCTATGTTAACTGTGAACAGGTAATAGAAAGAACATTATGGTTAACTCTGGTAAATTCCCATCGGCGGGCTGAGTGGTAGTCATGTACGTCAAGTGTCCACTATCGGGATTTCCCGTCTCCTCGGTACAAAAGGGACAGTTCTGGTGGGGTCCCATATATGGGAGCTGGTGGGCTCGTCAGGTGGATCTGGTCTCTGTGAGAGCTTCAGCGCCTTGAGGAAGGAGTCCGCTTCCTGGGTAGAGGTGAGATGCAGAGTAGTGCCGTTGTGGTCCACGGACAAGGTTTTGGGTGTTGTCCAACGGTAGGTTACTTTGGCTTCTTGGAGGCGACGGGTCACTGGGCGTAGGTTTCGTCTCCATTGAAGTATGGATCGTGTTAAGTCTTGGTAAAAGGTGAGACTTGCGGATTCAAAGTCCAGTGGCGTTTTGCCCTTTATCGCTGCAAAGATGGCGTTCCTGTCTGCCTGAGTATTGCACCTGACGATTACATCCCTGGTTGCTTGGGGGGGTGCCTGTGGTGATTTGCGGATGCGAAACATCTCTGCGACGGCCAGTTTTTTGGCCTGTGCATGTGGCAATATGGTGGTCATCAGTCGCCTGAGATAATGCGGCAACTCTGACTGGCTGATATCGTCGGGGACTCCCCTTATTTTTACATTGCATTTGCGGCTCCTCTCTTCAGTTGCCTCAAGTTTGCTGAGCAGAGTTGAGTGAGAGGATTTTAGGTGTGATACCGTTTCTTTAAGGCCTTGTATTTCTTGTTGTATGTCGTTGATATCTTCCTCTGAGGCTTTCACACGGTCCGTGACCGCTTGGACCTCCGTTTTCATGATGGCCATGTCTGCCGCTGTCATTTGTTTTAGTTCCCGCAGAAGGTTTTTAATGTCCAGTTTGGTGGCTGGTGTTAAAGCATCTGGGTCCGCTTGTATGTCTTGGGGCAACCGATGATCTGGTGTATCCCCCTCAGCCTGATCCGAGCATGTGGAGATAGTCTCTGGGTCAGGCGTGGTCGCCATCTTTGAGCCCGCCGGGCGCTGGAGCATGGTGCTAATGTCATGGGTGTCTTTGCACGCACCTGCTGCCGTCCGCTGGGATTTTCTCCCCATGGTGTCCGGGTCGGTGGGTGCTGGCTGTGCAGTTAAGGAGAGTGCTGCGCTGTATAGTGCCGTATCAAGGGCCCTGTAGTCTGGGTAGGCCTTGGTTTTACGGCGGACTCTCCGACCCGTCTGCTGGAATGTAAAGGGCATCAGTCGGGTGTCTGTTTTGCTCTCCCGGTCTGCCCGCAGGTTTCCGGAGGTATGTGGGCTCTTTTGGTTTTATGTTTGTTGTATTTTCTCGTCGATTTTGTCGCGTGTTTGCCGGAGCTCTCCGTGTGTGCGACCGCTCGGTTCCGCGGCTAAGCTCCGCCCCCCATTACTTTTTATATTTTTATACTACCATAGAGGGACTTCTTTTCCTCGGTACCACTTGTGAGTGGTGATATGCTGCTATAATCTTCACTTGATGTAAGTGCAATTTGTATTAATAAATCTATTTTTGTTTGCAATACTGCTCTATATACCTCTTTTTATTTGAGGATTGGGTGTTCTGAATCTACGCCTTTTTGGTCCATACACACAAGCCTACTGAGAAAGAATACGCTACTTAAATACCCTATGGAAGGGAGACAAGCGCAGATCTACAGCATGGTCTTGTAAGTTCTCTACCTACGGGATTGAATCATATATTCCTATACATGCTTCACTATTATGTGATTTTTTTCATATTTTAGATTCTTTGAAGAACTGTGTTATAGTGTATACAGGTTGTATGGTTCATGTTTGTTGTGCCACCCCTTTAGTCTATACTAGTATTTGATACAGTATAGACTTACCCCTTTGTTTACAAAATGAATAGCCCCAACGGATGGGTGATGGTAGGATCACATTAGGCCACTCCCTTATTAATAAATGAATAGCCCCCACCCACCGCCAATTGGTTGGGCCTAGGGGGTAAAATAGGTCTCCCTGTTTATTTTAATTAGGTAGCCCATTCCACTAACCACAGGTGGGGTCATCAAGGGAGAGTAGGATGTCCTATTTACTTAAAAATGTTTTTGGTAGTCCACAGGGATCTGTCGTTCCCCCATTATTTAATTGGGCATATATCTGATGCAGATGGCAATACACAATGCATTTGTCATTTTTAAAAAGGCAAATGCTGGGCTGAAAATCACTTTTCTTTCGTTCAAGTTTGACCTCATTTCTGGGCTACTTGAGTGCCACACAAGGAGACCATCAGTGGAGCCTAGCAGAAGAATGGAGGCAGGTCACTTCTGCTTTAAGATTCCACCAACCCCTAAAAAAACAAAACCCCCAGAAAAGGTGCAGGGTGTGTTACAAGAGCGGCGTAAGAGCTGAGACCAGCTATTACTGCCCTGATTGCCCCTCTCAGCCCGGCCTATGTATTGGCCACTGTTTTAACATTTTTCACAACCAGGCCGAATAAGTAGACCAGTTTTGGGGTGTGATTTTTTTTTTTTAGTCATCTGTCTACCAAAATCTTGGCTTTGTCTCCCACTTATCCTGTCTTCTCTGATCCTTGACCTCGGCTTGTCCTATCGTTGTTCCGTTTCTCTTTACTCCTTTGACCTCTGTTTGTACCTTGACAATTCTCTGCTTGTATAGCCCGGCCATTCTAAGGACCGGTATTACAAGTTTCTCTCTGTGTTCTCTCTTTGTGGTCTGTCTGTGTTTTGGTTTCGGAATCCATGACAGCTTTGCCCGGGATGCAGATGACTGGGTACTACCCCCGTATAAGTTTACCCCAACTATTCCCCCTTTTCACAGCAAATAGTATGCACTTGTTCATAATTTGAATTGATGAGCTGCTTATACTTAAAAATATGTGTGGCCTTTGAGAGATAATTTGCAGTCCTGAGCTGCTACAATGAGACTTGGGCCCAGCATCCACTTTTGAAAAATATGGAAGTGGTGTGTCTCCAATGTGCCCCTTCAACACCCACATAACCCTGAGAAAGTTACACATGGGGTTATCGTTGCACTGACATGACATAGCTGAGCAACATGGTAGGTGTTATACTGCTGTAGCACACATAAGGATAGCAAAATATACAGTAACATCTCCAACTGTGTGTCAAAAAGGCAGAAAAAAATGCTAATTGCGGGGGGCGGGGCCTGACACTCATGGTGACTGGTTGTGTTTCTTGTGAGCTCCCAGGAACACACTAAGCAAACTTGCTATTTTGACGGAAATATCCAAAACTGGGCACCAAGCGACTTACCCCCAACTACATGTAAAAAGACCTGACCTGCGAATGCTTCTAACAGCCTTTTCAAGCACTCCAGACACCAAGATCCACTGAGGCCTAGTGAGCGCTGAGGAGGGGAGAGGCGGCCGCTCTCCCAGACTGGCGCGATCAAAGTGCTGAGCATGTACCTGGAGCCCTGCTACCCCCCCCCCCCTTTGGACTGGTGGGGGTTATCCCGGTCCCCACCCTGATGGCTCCCAAACCCCATCAGAGAGCCGCAGCAGAGCCGCAAACACCTGCGAGCAAGGTGGAGCACTACCTAAGATGGCGGACGACACGCGTCTGCTTACTCCTGGAGGGGAGATACCTGACACATACCAGCGCCTGGAGGCAATCTTCGATGCCTTTTGGAGGGCGCTGGAGAGCAGGCTGACACCCACGGAGACCATCAAGGCACCTCCTGAACCATCCCGCTACTCCCCGAAGCGCCTTGCTGCACACACCGCGAGCCCAGCATACCGGAGCCAGCGACGACGGCCTAAGCGGCGTAAGGCGGTAAAATTAGCCGGCCGGCAAACCCTGAAGCTCTTTAACCCCAGCACCATACAGAAGGAAACACGCAGGGATGGTGAGGGGAGTAGAAAGCGACTGCTGCACAAAAATATGAAGACGTCTCCCCTGCCTGACAGCCTGAGAAGCCAAGCACTCTGGGTAACTACATTCCCTACAAGGGGGATAGGATGACCACCAAGATGGATCCCTGACCCCAGCGCCTACCCAGAATTGGGGCCATATTGGACTTCTGGTTTGCCATACTTGTGTTACCTGATAGCGTTACACTTTGCTTGCTACAACAGGTCCAGAGGGTAATGCAATCTAATCTGCTACCATTCATATAGGGTGCTAGCCAGGGTGTTGGGGCTGTCTGTGGTGGTAAACTCTACTGTACCCCTTACCTTACCATGACTATCTACACATAGTACCCATCTCTTAGCAGTAAGGGGATATGTCATACGCTTGTTACTTACTCTATTTTACGACTCTTATGTTTCACCAACGTTATTGCTACTATATACTATAAAATTGTGCATTGCCTAGCGATTACCCTACTTGTTACTTATGTTAAGCAGCTCGAGGAATGCCTTTGGGGTACCTCAAGCCAGTCTGTATCCATTATATGCACTGCAAAAATAAAAAATTCAAAAAAAATAAAAAATGCTAATTGCAACTAGACTTGGTACAAACTAACAAAAAAATAAATGATCCTACACTAAGGTTTTAAGGATTTAAAACCTGCTAAGATGCTTGGAAATTGCACATAGGCCCAGCGTCAAAATTCAGAGTTCGGTTAAAAACTGATATGGCTTGGTCTCCTATATGGCACTGTAGGTTCACGAAATAGTGCCAAAGACATACAATGGGGGGTGTCCTTTTACTCAGGAGACTTAGCTGAACATAATTTGGGGGGTTTGAACTTAGTGGCACATGTGAAATATACAAAATGCAATCCATATGTAAAAAACACACAAAATTATTTTTGACCACATACTTTGGCATCTATTGGTGAAAAAATGGGGGCATGTTAAGGCACAATATGCACCTTATGAGATACTCTGGAGTGTCTACTTTTACAAATGGTAGGCCTTTGTGGGTTTTTTTTGAACAGTCAAACTGTTATAATACCCTAAATGGAAGCATAGGCTCATTAAATCCGTCTCACAAAATTCTACCGAGTACTGAAAAGGACAGGTCTCCTATATGGCACTGTAGCTTCACGAAATAGTGCCAAAGACATACAATGGGGGTGTCATTTTACTCAGCAGATGTAACTGAACACAAAATAAAACTTTGTACAGGAATAGCACACACCAACTTTACAAAATACACACAAGAAGTTCGTTATAAGTTTGTGTGCCAAAAACTAAATAAAACACAATTTTACTCCAATATTTAGCAGAGGTTTGCGGTGAAATGGCTACGTAGAAAGTGTCAAAACAACCCTAGATAAATAACCTGTGATGTCTACTTTCTATAAATATATACTTTTGTGTGACAATTTTGTTTTCTTTTATGGCTATTAAGCTTACAAGACAAACATACCAAATTCTAAAATCGCTCCACATTAAAAGTCTATTTTACTCCTTGTGCTTTGTGACCTGTAACTACCAAAAAAAAAAACCAAACTTAAAATCCCAGACACATTATTATATATTCTGTAAATCAGAACAACTAAATGAATTTATTTTAAATTACTTTCCTTAACCTGCACTAATTATGAACACATTATTGCAAAAACTGTAAAAAATAAAAATAAAAAAAAATTTAATTTTGCATATTTCTGTATTTTTTTATAAATAGATATATATATATCTATATATATCTATCATCAAATTAAAGCCCTTTCTGTCATTTAAAAAACGATATATAATATGCGTCGGTGCAATAAATTAGTAAAATGCAAATTGCAGTTGAACGCAAACAGCAAAAAAATGCTGTTGTCATTAAGTGAAAGACAAGCTTCTGAAGCTCTGTCCTTAAGGGGTTAAAGTAACTTTCACATTTAAGGTCAAAATAGCCAAACTGGAAAAATTCTCCAAGCTAGCTATGCTTGCAGTTACGGTGGCCTTAAAATTTTAAATTCACTTTAAATTCTCCCTTAAATAAATAACCCCGTGAGTTGTGGTGCATTGAAAATCAAATCTTAAAATTCAGGCCAATATAATGACGATGGAAAAGTATTGTTTCCTTACAATTAAATGTTAAATGACTAAACTAGTCTGTAAAGAATAGTAATTTGGTAGAAAAAGGCAGCACTATTTTACAGCAATTCCTTGGGACATGCAGTTCCGCACACTGGGAAGGTAGATTATTTTTTCCTTTAGCCCTGACGCGGGCATGTGGCAGGGCAGCTCCCAAGGAGGGCAGGGCCCAAGCAGGTAGCATAAGGTCTGTGCAAGAGCAGACCTCATACATTGGTCCCTTGCAGTCCCTCTCTAATGAGTCAGATTGCAGCTACTGGAATTTCACAGTATGCTTTCTGACTCACTGAATGCCAAGGGTGTGAGGGAGAAATTATAAAGGTCTACCTCAGACCTCACATTCATGCACTGGACAAACTGGTGAGTTTTAAACCCATCCCACTTGACCACCAGGGCACATTTTAACTATCCCCAGTTTATCAGGCAAACTGAACCACCAGTCAAGCAGCCTCTCTACTGGTTCACCAAGTGTTAACCTCCACTCCTCTGGACTACCAGGCAAATTTTATCCTCCAGCTGGACCACCAAGGATTAAAAATAGCACATTTTACACACTGCTAGTGCATGCTCCCGATGCATACCACACACACACACAGCCACCATACATATCACAAACACAATGGGGGAGGCAGGAAACACTGCCCTTTCTCTGAAAAGTCCATGTTTACATTAAAAACATGCACATCATTGTCAAACTGGAAAGGTAGGAGAGGGACTCGTTACAATAACCATGTCAATATCCAGGGATCTAATGTTTCTAGATGAAATTATTTTGTGTCAAAACAAGTAGAGAAGTCTACCTTTTTAGACCCTTGGATAAGAAGTATTTTTTATTGTTTATTTTAATTTTCTGAAGACGTTTCAGTAAATTGCTCATAGTATAATACCTTCCACACACACAGACAATTTAACAGAATAGTCTAAATCTGGAACTAATCTGCAACCCCCTCTTCCAATATATAAAATGATTTTAAAACATAGCCAACGCTTTTAGTATTTTTTTTTTAAATATTTTAATCACATTAGTTTGATTTGATACGAAAGATGCCATTAGCACAAATGTAACATCATATGATTGGGATGTCCCAATGCCAAGTAGTGCAAACACATAATGGTAACCAATGATTACAAGATCAGATCCATCAAAGGATTGATATGAACGTAAAGTACTGTTAATCATGGAATAGTTTCACCTCCTTGCATTGTCAAGGATAATGGAGGGAAAACAAATTAAAGACCTCGTTAAAAAGTGTTACATAGGTCGCTTAACCTCTCCACTGTGCAGAACTATGAATTTTCAAAATGGTTTCACGCACCCAATAAACAGACTTTTTCCAGAGTATTGGTCCGTTAAAAGTTGTTAATTGGCGAGGGAAGTAATAAGATGAACTTCTAAAAAAAAAAAAAAAAACATAAAAACTGCAAAAAAAAAAAAAAAAATGTAAAAGCCATCTTTTAAGTGCTGTTATTTTCAGGAAATTATTACTAGCCTCTCAAAATGCTTTTTAGGGAAAATTGCAGCTATAAGCAAATGTTCATGCATTAAACAACGTGATTTCCCCCCCACCCAAAGTGTGGGTTTTGAATGTGGAACATTTGAGCAGAGCAAATGGTTAAGGAGCTTGCCTATTAAAACAGGAATGGAATCAAAAATAAAGCTTAGTATACGCACGCCTCTCTTACAAAACACACTGCAGTGTTCGTATGGTAGTTAGCTGGCATTGGAATTAACTAGCCACCTGCTGGATAATGCGCTTTTAAATAATTCCCTACGGTCCGCATAAGGCATGTAAAACAGGTGTCATGCAACTATTCCCTCATCTCAAATTTAAAAAAAAAAATGCAGTTGCAGGCAGACATGGTATACGTTAGAAGTTACAATCCACAGCTTCAACAATAGTACAAGGTTACAATTTCTACGGCTTATAATGAAAACAAGTCAATGACAATATTAAGGCCAAGATTGTGATCATTTGGGTTGAGTGGGCTGAGTGAGTGAGTGAGTGAGTGAGTGTGTGTGTGTGTGTGTGTGTTGTAACTACTCTATGTAATCCCACACTTGAAACCATACCTGAAAAAAGGAAATTACAAAGAACTACAACAACAAAAATCTGATCTTGTGCAACGATAACCTATACAACTGGACTGGTACTGGCCCTTTCTTAAAGGAAACTTAAGACACAAAGGCTCCATATTCCTACATGCATGACAAAATAAAAAGTTTATAAAAGGTTTAAACTTAATGGACTGGAGTCTTTTTTTACAACATAGATTACTATGCAACTGAGTTAGGTACAACACATTAAGTTTAATTTAATCATGCTGGGTTCACCTTTTCTATCCATTCCCACTCTTTACCTGTCTGTTCCAAAAATACAGCTGTAACTGATTTCATCAAGTATATTTGTATAATTCGGAGCAGTAAAGTCCACAATTAGCTTCATCTATAAAGATAATGACGTTAATTAAACAAATCATGGGTTCTTTCATTTTTAGATCAATCAAGTTGCAGGTTGTACAGCTTTTAGTAGATAAAGTTTTAATACAGCTCATACAAATCCTTTGCAATGCTCATCACTAATATTGGATGCTACAGGAACAGAATTGGCATTGCAACATACAGTTCTAGAGAAAGCTCACTACAGTAGTTGCATTTCCTGGGGAGTATATTTACATTATTTGCACTTTGTAATACATCATCTATGTAATTAAGAAATGTATGTGGGGGAGTTGACTAGTCTGGAGTGTCCCTTAAAATTCCTGCAGACATGGAGTTAGGTTTCCTCAGGACAGGGGACATTTAAAAAATAATCTGCAAAACCTAGTTAGGTGTTTTAAGAGTCTGTGTTCTTAACATTTAAGGTTCGAGCTTGACTTTGCAGGAGACATTTTTAACTTGGGCTAAGATATGTGATCCCATCTACAAATTTTTTTTATTCAACAGCTGTGGGCACTACTTATCACTAATATAATATGGATTGTTTTCTTAGCATAATGGAACTTCCTTAAAGGGGACATGTCATTGGACTAAGGTGTGTAATTAAATCTGCTTCAATGCACGTAGCTCAATCCCAGTGGAACAAGCTTGGCTGCACACATTCTAGGATTGTGTATAGAACACAGGGATAATAACAGAGGCTGAAATCTTCCAAGACTTGCATTTATTCCATCAACGGGCTGCGGTGTGGCTATCACAACATATAGTAGTTTCGGTTACTTTAGAAAGAAGTACTATAATGCTATTTTTGCATGAGTTATTTGTTTTGCACCTTGTGCTGACTAGGTTTAGCTGCCTTACTATCTGTGGCTTAGTGAAGAGATTCTTAGAATATTACACTATCCATAGTGATAAACATTACAATTTACGACATATGCATAAGTACAGTGAGTTGAAAATATCTGGTGTACGACTTCAAAATCACTAGTATAACATTTGAGATGCAGTATCTATCGTTCTTCTTGGGAAACCAGATTTGAAGTGTTATAATCATGTCCTGGTTACTAAAGGCTGATCTATTTAAACCTACACATGGTACCAATTTTAATAAATACACCCCATGTAATTTTTACTGCAAGCTATTATCAATTACATTAAAGTCTATAATCCCAGTACTCAAATGTTGTTCTACTAGTTTACATAATCAAATGATTTCTTCATATCAAAAGAGAAAAAAAAAAATAGAATAGGCCAGCAGTCAAGGCACTTAACAAGACAAGTATATGTTGCCTTGACGATGGCAAAGTTGTCACCCGTCACAGCATAGGTCTGAAAATATTGGTAAATATACAAATAGGTGTAAACAATCAAGCTGCTTGTTTAACCCCTTAAGGACCAAACTTATGGAATAAAAGGGAATAATGACAGGTCACACATCATGTGTCCTTAATGGGTTTAAAAAAAAAAAAAAAATACGGGGAAAAAAAACCCAAAAACATTGCCCCCAAACAAGCCTTGCTGCAAAACAATACTTTTAGACAGTTAAAGGATATGCTTACCCTATATAAAAGCAGATCAATTTTGACATGGCCCTTGTCTGACTTATTTCACACGCAGAATCTTCCACACACAAACCTAACAAGGAATAACAAATCCTGCTAACTGCTGTTGCCCTTAATGCCCACTTCAGCCCCCACCGTTTCATGCTGGGACTATCATTTAAAGTCCAATAGTCATTCTGAAGCCGATATGGAGTTTACACCTGTTAATACAGAGATAAATTAATCCTCTAAGGAAACCACTTTGTTCCAGTATGGGATGAAAGTTGGCAGCAGTCAGTCCTTAGCTGGATTTCTTCAGTCTATCACAAACATGTGACCTTGCCTTATGTCAGGAGTAGAAAAAGGGATGAAAGTACCCTTTAGGCATATTCCATTTGTGCAGGAGGATTTGTAACACTGGACTTTCGTTCAGGGCTAGCCCTGCCATCACAGTCCTGAGGTCGTAAAGAGATGTAGTCTTTCACTTTAATCTCCATGTTCTTGGCTCTCAAAGTTGCTAGGTGTAGCTTGTCCAGAAAATCTGGCATTCCTGTGGAAAATGAGCAAGATGTATCTAGTATCAAAAACCAATATCATGTCTGCATTATGTAATATACAAAAGGTAAACATAACAGATTGCATACAAGTACACATTTACACACTAAATAGAGCATGGCTTTATAAATAGGCACTAGACACAGGTGTAACGCAAATCCTTTAAAATACCCATTCAATAACACTACAGCAAACCGTATCTTTCAAATATTGCCTAGCAAAGTCTTGAAGGCATTGCCACATTTCAAACAAAACACTTTACAATGACTTACCACTCGACACCATCCAATTAACACAGTAGCGAGGGAACACTGTCTGTGGGTTGTCACTGTAAGTCAGCAAATAATCGAAGCCATTCTAAGGAAAGAAGAGTTATTTTAAATTAAGTCAAGATTAACCTAATCTGACTATATAAGACAGGAGTTCCTAGCTACAGTTCATGGTTTAGTGGTGTTGGCCAAAAGCACCCCCAAATATAAAAGTATTAGCAGTCGCGACATTGTTTGCATCTGGTAAGCGAAATATGTTTTTGGAACCATTCCAGTATTAAAAAGGAACTAAATGTGTTTAGAGAGGAAAATGCCCCAGTGATATGGTGTTAGGCTAGCTATCACACCAACGGGAGATTTGCCAAGGCAAAACAGGTGCCATTTTAGTTGCAAAGAGCTAAATGTTACGATACCATCTCTATTGGTTTCCAAGGTGATTGCTCTTTATTTAGTGTTTTGCTCAAGAACAGCATCTGTTTGTGCCTTGGTAAACCTCCCCTCACAAGTAGAAAATGTAGCTGAATATATTCTGCAAACACCATTGCCACCTCTTATGTTTGTTGCAAGTTGGTGGTGCAACGACTTCACTGAAGTCAGGAAGAGATACATTACTTGGGGAGTACAATATATTATATGGCCTGCACTCCGTCAAATAACTTGTAAGTGCTCTTTCCTAGCTTGACAGTGTGAAGTCTTCCATAAAACATATATAAACAGGAGCACAGTTTACCGACAAGGCAGATATTAGTTTTTTTTCCCAAAAAAGAAACTAACAACTTAACTGCAGAAAATGTACAGAGTTCCCACAAAAAACATTAGGAAGCACTGGATAGGCAATTATTGGTCTCAGACGTTGATTTGGAGAAAGTTATGAAAATCAAAAAGTATCTTTTCATTATAACATTTTAAAACTGATTTTTGTTTTGAATATGATTTTTAATACCATAATGCATAAAACGGTAGCAAACTACATTTTTACAAATGTCCAAAACACATACTAGAAGTGATTAGACATTTTTGCATTCCTAGTAGACCCTGTAGGAGGTTATTTTAATTTTATCTCAAACTTAGAAATGACAATTAAGTCCCTGAATATACTAAAATATTTTAAGAGATCTATGGCTATATACCTCAGCACAGAATGCACCCATCATGGTTGAATATATTTATTACCTGTTATGTATTAAAAGTGTGTGTGTGTGTGTATTATATATATTTTTTTGTAATATTGTATCCTATTGAAACAATACAATGCAATGGACATACTTAAAAACGAGAGAAATCTCAATGTATCCATCCTGGTAAAATATTTTATAAATAGTTTTATGAAAAAAATAAATAAAAAATAAGTAAAATGAAAGTGGTTTCTGCAAATAAAGCCTTTCTGCTAGAACATGATAAATGTAAATTTTTAACAAAGAATTAAAAATAAATATATATATATATATATATATATATATATATATATATATATATATATATATATATATATATATAAAGGGACACTCCAGGCACCCAGACCACCTCTGCCCATTGGAGTGGTCTGGGTGCCAAGTCCCACTACCCTTAACCCTGCAACTGTAAATATTGCAGTTTTCATAAAATGCAATATTTACCTTGCAGGGATAACTCCTTCTCTAGTGGCTGTCTACTAGAGGGCACTGCCGGGTTTATAGCACACATTTTGTGAAATCCCCACAGGAAAGCATTAGGTCTCCCACCGCAGGCAGCCGCGCATGCGCAATGGGTCTCCCCGCCAGATGACATCGGCGGGGGAGAAGCGTGGGCAGACCTTGAACCAGCGCAGAGGGACATCGGCACTGGATACAGGTAAGTCACTGAAGGGGTTTTAACCCCTTCAGCAACTTGGGATGGGGGTGGGAGGGAGAGGGGATCTGCAGTGCCAGGAAAACTGTTTATTTTCCTGGCACTGGAGAGTCCCTTTAAATAGCTATAAACCTTACCGTTTTTCCCCAGCGTCGTGCTGGTCTGCTGGCTCCTTCCCATTGGAAAGCATTAGATTAGCTGAGATTGTCAATTCTGATGATCTCAGCCAAGGAGGCGGTTCAGGGGGGTGGAGCCAAACACTGCCCTGCCAATCAGCATCTTTTCATAGAGAGAGGCACTGAATCAATGCATCTCTATGGGGAAAGATCAGCATCTCCATGCAGAGTGTGGAGACGGTGTACATCAGTGCAACACCGATGCAGGAAGCACCTCTAGAGGCCGTCTGAGTGACTGCCACTGGAGGTGTCCCTAGGGAGCAATGAAGGCATTGGCTTTTCTATGAAAATGAGTGTTTACAGCAAAATGCCAGCAGAGACATGCTATAGACATCAGAACAATTACATTAAAGGAACACTATAGGGTCATGAACACAAACCCCGACCCTATAGTGTTAAAACCACCATCTAGCCACTCATGCCTCCATAAATATAGTAAAATCTTACTTGTATCCAAGCCTGAAGCTGTAGTTCTGCATGCTGTTTGCCTCAGAAAAGCGGTCTGCTGACATCAAAAGTGGTAGCCTGATCCAACCACAGTGCTTCTCCATAGGATTGGCTGAGACTGACAAGGAGGCAGATCAGGGGCAGAGCCAGCACAATTCAAACACAGCCCTGGCCAGTCAGCATCTCCTCATAGAAATGAATTGAATCAATGCATTTCCATGAGGAAAGTTCAGTGTCTGCATGCAGAGGGAGGAGACACTGAATGTTTGGATGCATTTTAGGCATCCATGACCCAGGAAGGATCTCTAACAGCCATCTGAGGAGTGGTCAGTGAAGTTATCACTAGGCTGTAATGTAAACACTGCATTTTCTCTGAAAAGACAGTTTTTACAGCAGAAAGCCTGAAGGTAGTGATTATACACACCAGAACAAATTCAATAAGCTGTAGTTGTTCTGGTGACTATAGTGTCCCTTTAAGCTGTAGTTTTTCTGGTGACAATAATGTCTCTTTAAAATGTTTAAATTGTAGAAAAAAAACCAAAACCATACACTATATTCAGACTAACAAAGAACAAGATGTCAATGTCATACCTCATCAAATGTAGTGTGCGGTGTGATAACCATCTGAGACTGATAGTTGCGAACCCGCACATAGTCTGGCGACTCTGGGACATCTGGGTGGTCAACCGCTCTGCAAAGCCAAGATTAACAACATTTGAATGATGTTTGGAGAAAAAATGCAATAACCAAAAACTAAAGTAAGAAAAACAAAAATCACAATAGCCATCACATTTTTCAGTTGTTTTGCATGAGTAAGTCATCAATTACTGATCCTAACTGTCCACAAGAAAGTGTGTGGGAAAAAATTGGATTTTTAAAAGGGACATTTTAATGAGGATTTTTCCAGTACAATAGATCCTATATTAAAAAGAGAGTTTCACATTTCTATTTCCTCCTCCAGATTAGACCCACTTCCTTCCTGGTTTAAGGTCCAGTAAATTATTTCATCCAACTCCTATTGTCCCCTGCAAAGGAGTGCCAAGTCACTTTCTTTCAGGATTTAATGGGAGTAATTTATATAGATTTAATATTGACGTGAGGATGTCAGTGTATATTAATGCAAGTCCTCAATACTGTATTTGCATGCATGAGTGGCACTCACTCATTTCCACGAAGACACGCAAAATATATTCAGTAAAGAACTAAACTGTTCTAACACCATTTTGGACAAGGCAATTCAATTTGTATAAATGGCACTGTGTAAATGCATGAATAGAAAATAAATCCATATCTCAACTAACATGCAAATCATGCTGATGCATGTTCAATGATTTAGAAAATCTTTCATACCAGTAAATATGGTTTAACGTGTAAATGTGACTGCTTTCATTAAAGAAGATAACATACATTTGCTCTAAACCCATGTTAATGACTGATCCCAGATTAGTGCCAGAGAGATTACTTAGCTATTTATCATTACAAGGAACTGATAAACACATTCCTTTGTGTTCAGAGAGGCCTGTAACTTCTTGTTTTAAGATATGCACCATATATAATCTTAGGATGTGATTAATAAAAATTTCCACCTTGACAAGGTTAACATACCCAAATTAAATTAAAATTCTGAAACAGTGTTTGCAAGTAACAGCCAGTGTTTCCACAGCCTTATTTCCATTAAATATATTAAAACAAACAAAACAAACAAACCACAAAACTGTTAAATAGTTACCGAGACACCAGAACCATTACGTTATTCTCATGATCAACATGAAACTTCCGTACATAGACATAATCCCGGGAATACATAGGATACTGTTAAAACAGATAAATGATTTAAATATTAGATTGCCGCATTAAAAGAAGATAAAACTACTTATTCCCCTTTTTTAATGGAACACTCCAGTCCAAATATGGGCCAAAGCAGAAAGCAAATTGATTAAAATTAAATTCATTAAACTACATTTTAGAAAGATATAATAATAATAACAACTATAATGTGGGAGGTAGAATCCCAGAAACTGAATGTGAAGCAGACACCCAACAAATGCACGTAAACGGTGTCAGTGCTTGGAGTGTCCTTTTAAATTGTTACTTTGTGCAAACAAACCCCACCAACAAGACATTCTTTACCCTTTAATAAAGGTCTTCTCTAAACTTCCAACATTCACATACCCTGAATGCCATCTGTTACTACTGCCTCTATATAGTACTTTGCCCTTACATATATGCAAATAGTTGGTTTACATTTTTTTTAAAAATTTTTTTAATGAAACTCGTATTCCTTATAATTAATTGAAGGCATACACAAATGTAGTAAGACTTACAGGAAAATGAGTGACCCAGTGAATAACTTCGGATCCAGACATGGTATCTCTTTCAATAACTTCCAGTTTAATGACTAGTGCATCCCATTTCTTGCGGTATTCTGTATCTAACTGTGGGTGAAAGAACCCTACATTAGCTTTGTCAAAACTTTATAGTCAAGACGGTGTCTGAAGTCAATTAAACACCTACCTGGACATTAAAGAATTGACGAGGAGTGACATCTGCATATGAACCAAATACTGCAGAGAGAAAAGGAAAATTAGATACTAAAACACACAATATCAATAACCTGCTATTGCTATAGCAATTATTCTATTTCCCAATTAACATTATTTGACCATAATCTTGCATTTAATAAAATGAAACAGAAGGAAGGCACATTTGTATCATTAACCAGCCAATATGTACAATGCCAGATATTAAAAATGGGCTTGGTTGTGAAACATTAAAAGGCTTAAGTTAAATTATTACATGCATTACCTCTGTATTGGTAAAGGTGGGTGCCCTCAATTGGGCGCCTCCATAACCTAAAGTCCTTTTTATCCATCACAAGCTCCCATCCTTGATCCTCGTCATATGCTACAGTCTGTCCCTGAAACATACGAGTTATAAACTGCATGTGTTTCATTTCTTCAGCTGACCTGCAGGCAAATGAAGAAAGGTGGTGTTTGATGAAAATTACTTTTTAGACATCTAAAAAACATAGCAATGTCACTTCCTTTCATTGGCACCCAAGTCATATCAAGGCTCAAGCAACTTCCTCAAACTATTTTCTAATGAAGTTATTTTTCAGAATTGTGTTATATACGGTACTACAATACATTCAAAAAAAGGGCCACATAACTTTTTTTTTTTTTTTATTTAAAAAACTAGCCAAATAAGCCAAGTAAAAGTAATGTACACATGACTACTCAGTGGGCAAACTAAGCACATGGGTCTCAAAGAGCACAAAGCTGGATCACTCAAGGGTAACATGAAGGGGTTGGACTGCTCCAGCCCTACATCGGCAAGGCTGCAACTCCCACCATCCAGTTGATGGGATTAAAGTCTCCAGTAGACTGCAACTCCCACCATCCAATTGATGGGATTAAAGTCTCCAGTAGACTGCAACTCCCACCATCCAGGTGATGGGATTAAAGTGTCCAGTAGACTGCAACTCCCACCATCCAGGTGATGGGATTAAAAGTGTCCAGTAGACTGCAACTCCCACCATCCAGGTGATGGGATTAAAAGTCTCCAGAAGACTGCAACTCCCACCATCCAGTTGATGGGATTAAAAGTCAGAAGACTGCAACTCCCACCATCCAGTTGATGGGATCAAAGTCTCCAGTAGACTGCAACTCCCACCACCCAGCTGATGGGATTAAAGTGTCCAGTAGACTGCAACTCCCACCATCCAGGTGATGGGATTAAAGTCTCCAGTAGACTGCAACTCCCACCACCCAACTGATGGGATTAAAAGTCTCCAGTAGACTGCAACTCCCACCACCCAACTGATGGGATTAAAAATCTCCAGTAGACTGCAACTCCCACCACCCAACTGATGGGATCAAAAGTCTCCAGTAGACTGCAACTCCCACCACCCAACTGATGGGATCAAAAGTCTCCAGTAGACTGCAACTCCCACCACCCAACTGATGGGATCAAAAGTCTCCAGTAGACTGCAACTCCCACCACCCAACTGATGGGATCAAAGTCTCCAGTAGACTGCAACTCCCACCACCCAACTGATGGGATTAAAGTCTCCAGTAGACTGCAACTCCCAGCATCCAGCTGATGGGATCAAAGTCTCCAGTAGACTGCAACTCCCAGCATCCAGCTGATGGTATTAAAGTGTGATCGTGCTGATGGGATCACTATCTGTGCTGTATGTGCACTCACTGTCACATGGAACTCCTGCCATAAAGTACAATGCACGCATTACAATGGGCATAGCGCCCCCATATTCCGTCGCGCAGTGCAATACCGGAGTATCTCGTCCTCCCGGACTCTCTCGTCCTCCCACAGGAAGGCCCCGGTGAGTGCTGCGAGCAGCCTGCCCGTCCGCCCCGGCCGCGGTTTGTAGCGGAACCCCCGGATGAGGGCCCGGGCGCCGCACTCCCCTCTCCACGGCTGAGGCCGTCCATACTGGTATAATAGCGGCAGGCGGGAGCGGAGCCAACCCAGAACCCCCGCTGTGAGACCTCTCCGTGCCCGCTGCCACATCCTGGCCGCCCCGGCTAGACCCACGCCACTCAGAGCGCAGGCCGCGGCGCTAGGCCCACCTTCTCCGCGATTGGCTGGATTATTCGAGAGGAGGGCTCTGATTGGCTGGGATTCCGATCTGTCAGGGACAGAGTTCTACTACACAGCGCATCATCCACCCCGCGCCAGTTCAAGGGCAAGCCACAGCGTGCGTGTACTGTGACAGAACACGTGACTTGGCGGCCATGTTGCAGGTGGCAATGAGCGATAGGGGTCAGCTGTCAGGAGACAAGGAGAGCAATAAAGTTTATTTATGGATTAAAGTGGTTTGTTGAGACCAATGATAACTGGGTCAATTTATGTGGGTGCATGTTTTCTTATCTGCAATTACTTTTCACACTTTGATGCTACTGACAGAATGCAAAGGCACCATAATCACTTTGCTAATGGTTCCCTGTGACTGGTTTCCCTGCTGACAGTATCTTATAACTAGAGGGGTTTGCAACAACTCCTGCAGGTATCAGCCTTTAGTCTGAAAGGTAATATTCCACATTTGCTGTCTGAGATCTCTCCAGCTTTTACCTGTGGCATGTTCAGGCTGCATGCACAACTACAATGGATCTCTCTCTTCACCCCTGTTGAAAGCCTGAAACCTGCTTTTTTTTTTATACTCCCTGTCTTTTTAATTGGGGTCACACCTGCCTACTGTCTTTAGGACCATAGCATCAATACCTTGCACATGCTGTATTACATTAACAACTTAAGGACGGAGTCAATTGTACACGTTCTGATCAAAACAAGACCTGGAATTTGCGCTATATGTCTGTTCAACCGTAATTCACCTCTTTCATATTAAATGCACCCACACTTATTATATATCATTTTGTTTGGGTGAAACTGGTCTTTCATTTCATTTAAAATATTTATATTTGAAACTTAATTTAATATACAATTTAAAGAACTTGATATTTAATTTTTTTAAGTTCTGCATGACATTTTTGTGGTATCAACTCCGGTCAGGTATGAAACAAGGACACTCCAAAGGACTCCAGACACAGGTCGTTGAAGAACAAAGGCTATTTATTATTGAGCAGCTGCAAAGTCTCAGTCAGACAATAGTCTTGGAATACCCGACTGAGCAAGCGTTTACAAGAGAACAAAGAATATATACCACAAATGACGTATTCCATACGTATACAGAGAATACGAAAATTACACCTGCATTACCACAATTACATCCAATTATTAAACTAAAACTTATCTCTTACATAAATTAATAGAAAAAAAGAAAAAAGGAGCCTATACAATGAGATGAGACAAAATAATGGTAGATAGTGTGAAAATGGGGGTAACCCCTAAATGGTTAAATTGAAGAACTAAAAAAAGGAAAAACAAAAACACTACCAATGGGTGTCTCTTAATTAAATATGGTGAAGCAGTCGCAATTGAAGTTGTCGCAGATGGAGTTGTCACAGAAAAATAAAACAAATCTTTTAATAGATAATTGTAAAAGCCATTAAAGGAGAAAATAAAGTAACAAAAAGCAAAGACCAGGGTATTTGATCCTGAGTGGAAATTCTGGTCTTGCTATAACAGCACTAAACATTCTTAATCTGTCTAACTGCCTGAAAGAGACAATGTATCAAACAATAAGACTTCATAATAAAAAGTATCTATTTATACAATATATACAGTGCAGGTAGGGGGAGAGGCGATAACCATTTTCATTAAAGGACCACCCGCCCAGCTCTGGGGAGAGGAAGGGGGTTAAAACTTACCTTTTTCCAGCGCTGGGCAGGGAGCTCTCCTCCTCCGATCCTCCTCCTCTCCTCCCATTCGGCTGAATGCGCACGCGCGGCACTTTTGTCTGATAGTCCTATATTACTATCAGGATATCTTAGCTAGAGAGCCTCAGAATTATGTCTTTAAGGAACCTATCTGTGCGAACGACACATCATAGGTAAAATCTATCTAGTCACATTCAGGATAAATCTAACAGAACAAGACTAAATCCTCTACATGATTATACATATATATATGTAAGTCAGCTTAGGTACGAGCTAAAGGTAGATATGCAGTAAATGGTATCCCCAGTTATAACAAAAGTTAACCACCCTAATAGATGAAATGGTGGTATAGATATAGCCAACTGAAAAGTCCATGCTGTTTACCCCTTTAGGCTACTGCCGATTAAGCGTATATTCTGTAGATGGATAGATACATTGTATCCCTATGGCAATTGATCCGTAACTGACCAAAGTATCATACACCCCTGTATAAGTAGAAGGTTCCATTTTTTTCATTATTTTATATATATATTTTATCTCATTTTCTTCACCACTTTTTGTTGTTTCCTAGATTAGTTTTTTAAGTCATTCAAATAAAAGGTATATTTTAGTACATACAGGTTCCACGGGGACTTCCTGCTTATCCTATGGGTTTTACATTTGTTCTGTCCTTTAGTAGCTACTGGCCAAAGTTAGTGTTCATAATTGTTTTTTGCATTTTTAACACACAAACAAATATAAATGCTAACTTTGTCCAGTGTTTGTGACTAAGTGGCTACTAAAAAAGACTGGAAATACCCCATATTGAAAATCCTGGGTTGCCTACTTAAAAAAATATATACATGTGACGTGTGATTCAGAGATTTATGACAGATAACAGTGTTACAATGTCACTATTGATACATTTTTAAAATATATATTTTGATACAGCAATATCCTACTTGTACTTATAGCCCTATAACTTGCAAAAAAAGCTAAGAACATGTTAACATTGGGTATTTCTAAACTCAGGAAAAAAAAATAGAAGCTATTTAGCATGGATGTTTTTTGGTGATTGTAGATGCTAACAGATTTTGGGGGTCATATTTTATAAAACATTTTATCGTAAATTATATGATGTGATGAAAATAATGGTATCTTTAGGAAGACTATTTAATGGCAAGAAAAACGGTATATAATATGTGTGGGTACAGTAAATAAGTCAGAGGAAAATTACAGCTAAACACAAACACCCCAGAAGTGTAAAAATAGCCCTGGACCTTAAAGGACCACTATAGTGCCAGGAAAACAAACTCGTTTTCCTGGCACTATAGTGCCCTGAGGGAGCCCCCACCCTCCTGGCCCCCCTCCCGCTGTGCTGAAGTTGGAGGAAGGGGTTAAACACTTACCTTTCTCCTGGGGACTCTCTTCCCCCTTTGGCCGTCATCGGCTGAATGCACATGCGCGGCAAGAACCGCGCACACAGTCAGTCAGTCCATAGGAAAGCATTCTCAATGCTTTCCTATGGATGCTGGGGTCTTCTCACTGTGAAAATCAGTCTGGTCACTAAGGGGTTAATGTTCTATAGTAGCTCCAGCACAGCCCTTTATTATTTTAATAAAGATGAATGATGACCAGTAAAGCATCGGAAGAAGACGTAGACATCTCACAAAAATCTTATGCCATATCACATCCATCTCTAGCCATTTGTGGTGAACAAGACATTGACGTGAGCAACCAAAGAAGGTATTTCTTGAGCCTACATACCTGGAATCATCAACTATTTATTGGCAGAGACTGTGGACAGCAGTCCTCTGGCTCCCTATTGCCATGACATGGGCTCAAATGCGGATTCCATTCCATATATAGTAGATGATATTATAGTCCCCCTTTAAACACAGCGTTGAGTGATGACGTATTGATGTAGCACGCATCGCTCAGCATGTGGCGCACCTAAACATAGAGCCACGAGAAAGGAGAACCGGCGTCTGCAGAAAGGTGTATGGTGTAAGGTGTTCGGGTTTGGGAGGGTGAAGTTTGGAGCCTGGATTAGGAGGAAACAAAGCTTTCCACTCGAACCAACAGGAGGTGACCCTTTCAATCGGGGGAAAAACATACGAGGCCGACGGAAAAGCTAGATCGGGAACTTCGGAAAGTATCCAGCTGACGGCGCTCAGAACTCCCATCACTAATGTAACGTAGAACAAGGAATGGGAACAGACGCGGGGAAAAAACAAATGACAGGAGGATCGGAAGAGTGTAAACCCCATATAATAAAAGCACAGTTGAAGTACTTAAGCGGATGCTGCAGTCTACAGGAAACGGGCTTGTAAAAAACAAAGATATAAGCAATTAACTCTGAAAATGCTGCTGACATACTAATGTGCTTACTAAACAATATGTAGCATTTGACTGCTGTCAGGGAGCAAAAAAGAAAATATATTAAAAAAATATATATAACAAAAGGTAAATAAAAAAAGGGGGTAGGAGGAGTTGGAGGAGAGTTTTATGTTTAAGGGGACGAGACATACGTTTCAATAATTTTTTTTTTTTAAATCCAACAGTTGTGGTTTGCACAGAAGCCACACAATAGGATAACAGAAAATCTTTATCTGCAAAAAAGAAAAAAAAGAACCAAGGAACTAAAGAAGTAGATTGCAATATAATTGCAAAATAACCTTAAAGAGAAAAACACACACACACACACACAAAAAAAACAAACATTTAAAATAAATGAACAAGTGAACAAAAAATTGAACAGAGAATTTCTCAAATATCTTTCACTTTCTATTGCAAAAAAAATAGAAGAATCCCTAAAAGTAACTGTTTAAGAAGCAAAACAGAAAAAATGAAAGAGAAAAGGAAAATAGAAAAATAGAATAGAAAGAGAAAAAAGAAGATAGAAGAAGAGAATATAAAAAGGGACCTTTAACTGCTTAGAAGATAAACAGAGACTGAGAAAGTGAATAGTGGAGAAAATAGAAAAAAAAAGATTAAAAACGGATTAGCAAACATAAGCAGAAAATAAAGAGAAGAGAAGAACTTCCTAAAAAAAAAAAAATGAGAAAAAAGAGAGAAAAAGAAAAGTAAAAAAATAATTTAAAAAGGGGGTGTGACGGTTGCAAACTGTATCACCGTCAATCATTCCCTTCTTCCCATAAAAGAAAATCCCCAAGTAATCCACAGGAATAAATATCGCTGGTATTGCCAAATAATCCACACATGAGCCAAAGCTTAATGCTGGAACAAGACTGATTTACTGGAAGCAACAGGCATTCAATTCATACAATACATAACTCCTCCTCTGGGCCAGGCTAGATAATTGAGTTTCAGCAACATACTAAACTCAATTATCTGCTGGCCAGAAATATTACAAACATTTTTAGAAAAGTACTTACTCCATAACATACAAATATAATAATTACATCCCTGGGTAGCTGAGGATACTGGGAGTCACATATCCAAATCTCACGAAAATCCGTTCGGTAGTTTCCGTGTCGCATCGTGTGGAATTTTGACCGGCTCGCCGTGTGGTGGTATCCGATTTAGAGTTCCATGAAATCAATAGCAAGAGCCGGTCTCCGTTCGCGCTTAATTACATGAAAACTACCATACGAATGATGCAGCTTGTTATATGAAAACGCTCCCCTCGTTAGGTAGGTTCAAACTCCCGAATGCCGGTTTGATTAGTTGAATAGAAAGTAGTCCGGACCGGACGTTCGCGTGGTTACATAGTTACAGAGATTTAAGATGGCCGCCATCCTTTGTTCTCGCTACGTGTTCGTATGCCGAATGGCGGCCACCTAGGAACCCTCAATTAAGTTGTGGTTTTCTCAACGTTCCAAATTATGATTGCTACCCAGGGTGGTCTCTGTTCGGTAGACGAATACATTTATCAAACACATAGTAAAAACGAACCAGTTAACAGTATTTAAACAGCAGGGAGAGGATATAACCGAAGGCACACAGGTAAGTATATGGAAATCCTTTACAGGGGGAAAAGGCAAGAAAAAAGGGTAAAGATTAGAAGAAAATAAATAAATACATTTTCCCCACCCTAACACCTATACCCAAAAACTCATAGGTATAAAAAGAAGATTGTTATGAGAACTGAACACCTTATACCTCAAAAACAGAAGAATTCATAAAGATAATTGTTATAGAAGATAAGCAGAGAGAAAAAAAAGTGATATATATATATGATGGCAAATAAAAAGGAAGCTAAACCAATGCAAAAAAAAAGAGATAAAAAAACTCCAGAAGTAGAAAATTAATCAAGACTATCTGGTCTCTTTTCACCAGTGAGACAGAAAACTTTGGTAGGGACATTAAATACCCCTCGGTTAGCAGCCATTGAAAAAATGGATTTGCCCAAAACAAATGAAGCAGAAGATCCCCTGACAATAACATTTGACATTTTGAAAACATGTTTAAAGCAACAGTTTGAATTAATTAAGGGAGAAATACAATCGAATACTTTAAAATCTCAGAGAAGATCTTAGCAAGATGGGAAAGAAAGTGCAAGAGATGGAAGAGAAAATGGAAGCCACACATTATCTTCATTCAGAG